CAAAACACACACAAAAATCCCCATACCCGTGGTTTTTCAATTGACTTGCTCAAGATACAGGGCAAAGCATCGCCTTTTGGAAAATTCCACCGGATGTTGATTCTGCCTTTGAAATCCCGGGTGTGTGGCAGCCCTAGATATAGACTTAGCTGAGATGTCAAAATTGGCATGTTAAAGACTGGAAACCTCTCATGGACTTTTTGTGTGAAAAAGAAAATGGAATGATGATTACCTGGATTGGAGGATTGAAGATAATGTTTGTTGATATAGAAAGTGGCTTTGTTGGGTGTTGGATTGGACAAAGTGAATATTGTTTTTATATCGCATATAGATGTAGAATCAGAAGCTCTTTACTTTCTGAATTTTATTTTTCTAACTTTCTCTTTTAATCTCTTTTCTCTTTTTTAATTTTTCTTTCTTTCTCCTCCCCCCCCCCCTTTTGCGTTTTTTATTTTATCTAGATAAAAGTCTTGGTTTGGTTTAAAAAGGGGGGAAGATATTAAGCTTTGTATTTGCCTTAAGACTATTTAGATCTAGATAGATAGGTAAGTAGGTAGGTAGATGATAGATAGATAGATAGATAGATAGATAGACAGATAGATAGATGATAGATAGATATTGAAAGGGAGGATGAAACTCTAACCACTCTCTCAACACCATGCATAAAGGCATGATATTGTAATTGGCAAAAATACATTTAGATTTTGCAGGCAAAAAAAATCTCCTTGAGTGTCATAAAAGGTTTTGTTTCAGGGTGGCTCAGTGGTTTCTTACAACCTAGGCTCAGAATTAACAATAATATAGACTGACAATAGTTTGAAAAATGCAAGGAGAAAATAATTATTTGAGACAACAACCTGTGTACAACTGATCAAATGATATGCTGCATTTTCTAACCAAGCAAGTATTGAAATAATTTAACATGCAATCCTCGTCAAGTCTCTTTAACAATGTGGAATGTAAATGAACATTAAAATTCTGAAATGTCCCCCTTCACATGATATTAATCAACAAATCTGATAACAAGCTATACTGAGCCACTCATTTTTGTGGGGAATTGGTTTACATAAAGGGCCCTTTTTGATCAAGTAAATTTTGTCACTTAACAGATCAAAGCCAAAATGAGACCAGATGAGCCATGTTCATTTGAATATTTTCAAATTTGACATTCTGTTATGGTGCTGAAAGGCAAATACCGTCCAGTTAGAGGCCTGACAAAAAATTAAGCATTTAATACAGAGTAACAATGATATGGAAGATTAGCAATTACTTTTTATATAACACGAAAACACTCAGAATGTGGGAAACATCTAGGGACTCCAATGTCATAATGCAATGAATACTAAAAAATACCTTTAATACCTTAATAGATATAAACCCGAAAGCAGATTTCCAATAGATTTTTTTTAATCAGTGGTACTTTATAAAATACAAATTGGGGGGAAATACCTTCAATAATGATGGCTGTAGAAGTGTTTTGTTTATCTAGTAGTTCATCCATTTTGGAAATGTGAAAAGGAAAAAAAATGGGAAGGCTTTGATTTTATGTTGACAGAAGGTGCAAAAGTTGTTTTATTAATTTAAAATGGACCAGTTAAGGTGATAGAAAGCAACAAGCAACTTACGAAAACATCAGCAAAACCCTCAGTTGCTTATTTTTGGAGGCTGATCCTTGCTGCATTGGTATCCAGTTGGTTCTGTCAAATCCAGGATATGATTTTGACATGTTGCATTCAAGCTTGGGAAAGTTCTGTAAAACAAGGAAGTTCGTTTAAGGATAAGCTGTGTTTCTTTAATACTAGTATGATAAATTCTGCAGCAATATTTGGCCGTATACACCTTTCTTCTTAAGTAAACTGCTTTTAACCCTAATGTGTGTTTTTTCTATTTTGTTGTTTTCAAGACTTAACTAACAGTATCTGGTCATTAGGTACTTTTTGCAGCTATTCTAGAATGGGGGGGGGGGAATAACAATGGCAGGAGCTGGAGCAAAAGCTGGGTAAAGTATCAACCTCTTAGAAGCAATCTCTTGAAGGCACAATAAAAAAAATCTCAGCTTAAAACTCCAGGCCTCCTGTTTTGTAGAGATACACATGTACGGATTGTATATTTGAATTAATCTTTAAAATACTGTATATTTTAACAATGCCAGTTTTCACAGATCATGCGTTTGAAAAGCCAAGAGCTATGATTTAGTTATTTGGATCTAGCAATACAAAGATCTTGTTCATCGCAGATGGCTGGGATTCCAGCTGCGAAAAGGGGACTCATCCTTATCTCAGCCCCTGGCTTGTAGTGCATCCATTTAATGAGATAGGCAAGTTTGCGATAAACTTGTGGCTCATGATACATTTTCCAGTGTGATGAACATGTTACTTTCCCTGCGAATGGAGCACACACAATACAATCCCAGCAGCTGTTTCGATTTCTTGCTTTCCGAGAAATCCCAAGGAACTTTTGAGTTCAGCAATCATGCATACCAGTTTAATTAAAAATTACAGCCACCTTCCCAATTCATTTTCCAGAGGTAAAGATTTGTGTGCCACTTCATTTGTGTAACGATTATAAAATCTCATTTTCCATCTTGCAAGGAAACCTGGCTCAGTTAATGACGACATGGTGACCAACAGAGGTCTCCCCATTTCCCCATCTTAACAGGGAAATCCAAGTTATGTCAAAATGCTTGCAGTTGAATCCATATCATTTAGGGTTACCGGAGAAAGCCATGATGGGGTATGTGGGTATTTTCTGAGGTGCCTCGTTCATTTCTTATTTCTTGGCAATGCAATGCAACTGATGCAGGTTATAAAAGCAGCCAGTGTCGCCGCAGGAAACAAAACACAGAGAGGATTCATATTGCAATTTTCCTGCAAGTAATTCAAAGCGTGCGTTTAACCACTTGGAAAGCTAGTCCATCCGTATTGCCTTGTGAAGTGGCAAGAAGAATCCTACCACACTTCCCACTTCAAATAATAATAATAATAATAATAATAATAATAATAATAATAATAATAATAATAATAATAATAATAATTTATTATTTATACCCCCCTCTGGGCGGCTTCCAACAAAATTTTAAAATACAATAGTCTATTAAACATTAAAAGCTTCCCGAAACAGGGCTGCCTTCAGATGTCTTCTAAAAATCTGGTGGTTGTTTTTCTCTTTGACATCTGGTGGGAGGGCGTTCCACAGGGCGGGTGCCACTACCGAGAAGGCCCTCTGCCTGGCTCCTTGTAACTTGGCTTCTCGCAGCGAGGGAACCGCCAGAAGGTTCTGGCGTTTGAAATTAGCCAGGCATATTTTGCACACTGTTTTCGACCACTTGCGACCGAGTTTCAACCACTTGGGGGCCAGGACGGCGCCAGACACCTCCAGCACCTGGAGGTGCATGCCTGAGGATTATTAGATCTGGACCATTCTTGCCCACTAAGACCCCCTCCTGTAGAATTCTATCAGTTATTTTTTTATCTGCACAATCAGAATGAATTTCTGGAACCAAAATGCTTCTTCTGTGAAGCTTGAGCAGGAGCAGTCATCATTAAGAAAGAGGTAAGAATAGGGCTGCCACATTTCAAGAAGTAAAAATCCAGACATTTTGACAATTTTTGAAAATCCCCCCGCATGGTAATTTTCTTGCCTGTCAGCAATATTAGCTGCCGATTCTCCTGCTTGTGCAGGCCAGCCAGAGCCGCCTGCACATATATATATATATTTGATATAAAAAAGAACCCCAGAAACCCAAACATTTGCCCCCGGATGGGCATGTAGACCCTCAAAAGACGACATGTCCAGGATTTCCCAGACGTATGGCAAACCTTGATAGGCCAAGAGGGAGGGAGGGAGGGAGGGAGGGAGGGAGGGAGGGAGGGAGGGACTGGTCTTGGATCAAGTGACTTTTCTTCTTTAAGTTCTCAAAATTCTTAACCTAGCTCAAGGTGGTCATCTGAACTAGCCAGAGGTTTAACTGAGAATCAGTCAGTCAGTCCATCATTTGAAAAATAAGACTCTAGAGCCATCTTGCCCAAAAATGGCAATTAGACATTACATTTTGGGGACTAGTTTAAGGAGCCATTTGGCACCTAGTTTATATATCCGAGTTTCTAACACTGCTTCTGGTGGAGTACCGAACTGTACTAAAATCAACATGTCAGAATGATCCAGGCAACTGGCCTTCCATGACGCTACATGTAAACTACATAAATCACCACACGGTAAACTGTATCGCTGTTGATAATAGTAAAAAAATAAAAATAAAAAATTATCACTAACACATGGTTTGAAGCTAATAAGTAGATAGATTATAAACGCCATTAAAAGTCAGTCATCAGAAGAACGATTATGCATTGAGAACTTAGTACGTTCTTCATTTTTCACTGCATTGAAGCTTAGGCTTACATTTGCACGATGGACAGCTTGTTTCAAGCTTTTATCGGTATGCACAAAACGTAAAACTAGATCTCTTGCAAGGAAGCATTTACTACACCCCATGACATTTTCTAGTGACATATATAAACCAATAACTCTGCAATTGTGACTATATTTTTAATTATTGCATTTAAAGCCTGCCTTTAAGAGAACTCAAGGGGAGTCTCCAAATCAAGCACTAACCAGAGCCAGACCTGCTTAGCTTCAACAAGTTTGCTTTGCGTTCCAGTAATGGACCTGTCTAGAAACTACATTTCCAGCATACAACTCAATGGCTTGAATTTAAAGATAGTTAATAGAATAACATATCTGATCCAAGCCTGATATTGGACAATTCCCCCTCCCTTAGGGGGTCCCTGTGCCCCATCACATATTGTTCAGACAAGTCCTTCAACTTTCCGTTAGGGGCATACTTGCTTGCAGAGAGAAGAACGGGGTCAAAACTTTCATTCAAATAACTTCTTTAAGCTTCCCACCTCTTTAAAAAAAAACCCAGTATCTGCATTGAGCTCCAACCAATCTCTTTGAAGTCCTAGCTTGGAAATACAGAACTGATTTCAAAGTAACTCCGGTTTTCATTAAAAAAGAAGATTTTATTGGTACCATGTTTCAAAAACATAACACGACACATAATATATTAGGGTACATTGGACCTCGGATTATTAACTTAAAATTCCTCCTTGGGCTATCACAAAATCTTGGAGGAGGAAACAGAAATTTGGAAGTTAAATACTGGGGTAGGGGGCTTATAGAAAAAGAGAAAATAAATCAGAAGACAAATAATTTCCTAGGTGAAATACTGGGTTCTTAGTAAGTGGCAGGAGCTCAATGTAGCCCAATAGACAAATAGGCCCCCAAATCAACAAGAAAGAAATCAGTGGGGCAAGTTCGCACTAAGGAGAATGTTAACTCCTGTGTCATAAAATTTGCAGCATAATTAAGCCCCTGGATCTGCTTCACCAAACTTTTTAGGTTGGTGGGCAAATTTGTAGAGTAGAGACACTGTCATGGGCACAACCTCTTCTATCCGCTACAAGAGAGTATGTTTTTCAAGCCTATTTTCAGCAGGGTTGGTTCTGCAGTACCTGTGTCCCTGCTACAAGGGCTGGGCAATATCTGTTTTTCAACATCAGGATATATCAGCAGCTAGCTACCGCGATATGCTGATATATCACAATGTCTGGAATGTATCTCCCACCTTAGAGGAGGAAGCAGTCAAGATACATCGTCCAGCCCTACTGAGCAAGCCCCCATCGCTCCAGCTCACAGGAGCTGGAGGGGCAGGGGCTTCCTTAAATTGCTCCGCTGGAGGCGGGAAGCTGTGTGAACCCCGGTAATGTTCCGGCTCACACGAGCTGGGGAGGGGGGCTTCCTCAAAGCCACAGGTAGGTAAGGCAGGCAAACGGAGCCCCCAAAAGTGCTTGCCTTCTCAGATTCCCATCTGCCTGCCTACCTGCGCCTTTGCCATCTGTATTGCCAACTCAAAATGTCTGAAACCGGCATAGTGATCTGAACACCGTATCAGTTTCTGACCATTTACCAATACATGGCCCAGCTCTCCCTGCACCATTGGAGACCTCTGCACCAGGGTAAAATTCACTCTCGAGTTTCAACGAACCCCTGCACTGCTTTGTAACGGGTTCATAGTAGGGGTTTTTTTGTATACACAGGAATGTACAGAAAAAGGTTTACAAAAAAATTAACAAATCTCCTCCGGCATTCTCTAAGTTGCATAAGCACACTCTTAAAATAAAAAAATGATAAGGCAAAACACGAAGTTATTTTCCCTAGCCTATTTGAGAAGTTGTTGGGAAACAGAACGGACCCCAGCAAGCTTAAGAATTCGGTAGTTTCATCTTCTTGTTCATTTCAATATGGGTAATCGGACCCCACAAAGCCAGTCAGGGGAGTATGAAGTGCTTCAGGTTGCTAAAAAAAATTGACAATGTTTTGAAACAGCTGCCGGGGTCCACAGCAACTCCATTAGCTTGCAAGAGTTAACTTCTCTTAGGTTCCCAGCTTACATGGCTTACCAATAAGGCATGTAGACAGTACAGTTGTGATACAAAGAAAAAATCAAAATTAAATACAGGGGAGGAAAGACCAACAGTTGCGGCTTTCTCAGTTGTTTTTCAAACCATCTGCCTGAAATGAAAAAAGGAAATCATCAGAACAACTGTTCAACGGGTCATAAAATATAAAGGATGGAAAGCATAACTTTAAAAGGAAATATAACAGCAATCAATTCAATATTTAACTGGCTTAATGGATTTAAAATTGAGTAATTTAAAGCTGATGGTAGTCAGAACAACCTAGGAAGAGGCCTCGTGGTGTGATGAAGGAGAATAGGCCTGCTGTAAATAGAAGGGGAGGGTTTTAAAAAATAATACTTAACACTGGAGAATAATGGATGCCCAAAACCGTAAAGGCAAAATAGACACATTATAATCTGGTGCAAAATTGTATCTATAGGGTAGATGGCAGGGGCAAGGAGGCATGACTGGTCTGGCTACTTCTGGGTTCCTCCCTCCCAGGAAAGAGCCTATGAGAGACCAGTCTGCCCTATCATTTGTAAAGTGATTGGACCAGATTTCTGGATGTTCTTGTTTTTCTCTCCCGTTGTCCCTTATGCCTTGTCTATTAGAGCATAACCCATTTTGATAACCTCAATTTTTATTCTGTGTGCAATTTATTCTTAACCAAGAATAAATAAAATTAATACCTACCGGTCAAGTCGCCTTGCTGCATTTCTTTAAACGTGAGCTTCTGCCACACAAGAAAAACAAGCCTTCTTGCTTTCTCAAATGTGAGTGCGGCCATGCCGTTCTTGAAGCAAGAGCTCCCTTTGAAAGCCTGGTTCTGAAGTTAGGTAGCCAGCTGGCAATTTAAATTGTGCGTAAAAGGATTTTCAGCATTTGGCTTCAAGGCCAAATTGTTTTATCGTTTAGAAGGTTGAAATAGTGATAGTGATTCAGCTCTTTTCGTGAATATGGGGGGGTGGGGGTCGCCACATGGAATGGTCTATCTTTTTTTCCATTTTTTTTCTTTGTTATCATGGGCCATAGTATAACGTCATTATTGCTTTTTTTTTCTTTTTTCCCCAAGACCATTCCATCTCTTTATTTTTTTAAACATCTTAAAGTGATAAGGAGATATATGCAAAGCAGTCATACACTGTATCATTAAAACTCATACGTAAAATACGTACACAAATCCAACAAAAGGCTAGTACATAGTAAAGCCTAAGTATACTACTATGCAATATTATGAATACGTAACTTTAGAGACTTCAGTTAGTAATGTTATCTATTATTATTTCTGAAAACATTCACAAAGATCTTAAATGCAAATTTCCATTCCATACTTGGAATAAAACAAAACAAAACAAAAATCTATGTTATAACAACTCTTGGTCATCTTGTTGTGTGACCAATTCTTTAAATTACAAAGAACCCAAAGAATTCCGTAATGTTTCTGTAGGAGTAATAAAAACATTGCATATGTTCCTAATATGATGTCTTCAGCAATCATTTACCGAAATGTAAATGCAACTCGAACATCAATCGCTCAAAAGACGGGACCAATCAGCTGCTTGAGTCTTATCTGAAATCCAAATTCACCACTTTCACCCAAACTCCTCGAAGTACAAATATGCAAAAGTACATTAGAAAATGCTAATGCAACACAGGAACAGTTCTAGCATTCTCAGCAATCCGCTGAATCATCTTCTCCAAGAACGAGATTCATTGTCGTCGTCTTCTTCATCATCATCTTGAAGCAATGAGTCATCTACCAGGGATTCTTCCTGAAACTGAAAAAGAAATGTTTCGTAAGAACCTGCCGGAAGCACTGAAGATATGAAATTCCCTAACAAAAAAAGGGGGGGCGGCATTCAGGCACCTTTTAGGACTATGCAAATTACTTCTGCAGTTTGAATGAATGGGGAAAACACAATACCTGTGAAAATCAGAATGTTAGCATCTTCCACACCAATTATTGATTACGAAGATTAACAAATGGAGGGAAATTCTATAGATCATGAGATATACATCTCATGCTGGGATTCGTTTATTTATGTTAAGCCGTTATGCTGCTGCAAACTGTATAATGCTTTGAAAAGCTATCTAATAAATTCTAAACATCACTGATTTATTCTGAAAGTGAAATGAGGTTTGGATAACGGTTGTAGGTCTTGTCTGGACAAGCCAACTTCCAAAATGTGATTAATGTTCCTGGCTAGTTTTGGCAAACCACCGTTTAACCACACTTCAGTGTGCATGTAACAGCAAACCATGGCTAGCTACAAATGGAAAAGAAAGTTTTGCAGTTGCACCAGAGGACTAGAGGGGAGAGCATGAGTCATTTGCTCATTTATTTTACATCCAAACCCATCGCTCTTGTTATTTTGGACCAACCCACACAGGGCTCACCAGGGCTGAAGTCCTGTGCTCTGAACACTCGGCAAGACAGCAGATGAATATTCAGTTTTGGTTAATGCCACGTTAAAACAGTTAAAATAAACTTTTTAATGTAAACATGAATTGTCCTGGTACATGTGCTGAAATCACAAGCTAAAACACTCCCCCTGACCCCTTCCTGCTGCTGCTGTGCTGCTGGGAAACAAACCATGGTTTGGGGGGTCATTATAGCCAATCCTGGACTTGTGGTTTCTTTCCCTCCAAGCAATCTACAAGATATAAGCCCTAAACAAACCTTGCTATCTAGTAATGCGCATATATTTTACTTTCATCCTGAGCGTTTTGGATAGGGTTGAACCCGAGTAAGGAGAACACAAGCTTGATACTACTAAGCCAAAATTCTCCTATCACAGAAAGTAAAATTATTTATGGAATATAGGTAATTACTTAATGTTTATTTAAATAAATATAATATTTTAGCAATCAAGCAATACTACTAATTCAGAACGAGAGAGGATCCATTCCAGTGAGAAGTTATGAAACTAATTTTTCATAAATGGGAGTATGCATTTTCTAGGAGGTGCTTATGCAAAGGTCAGAGCCAAAACCCATAAATAACAGAAAATATCCTGACATTGGAACAGCAACTCTGACAAAATTTATAGTGAAAGCAATGTAGGTTCTCACTCATAATTTACTCTACAGCTGATACATCCAGGACCTGGTGATTACAAATATTCTTTTTCAATACTCCTTGGTGTCTGTGCTAGAAGCACTCGTGAAATTCTATCTTAAGAAAAGCTGACATTTAAGAAATACAAAATGCTTGAGGGAACTTTGATTGGAAATCCATTATGTATGGGAATTTGTTGACGAAAAGAGGGGACTGGTTCTGTAATAGTGGAAGAGAACGTAAATTAATATAACCTGGTTAAGTAAATCAGAAAAAGGCCAACGCATACAGGACAAAAAACATGACTTAAGTAACAGAATGTATATTAAGACTATGAGCTAGTAAAAGGAAAATATAGGTGTGTGCTGTGCCAAAACTATTACAAATGCAAAGTACACAAATTCAGAGAAAATTAAGGATTCCCAATGGCATCACAAGATAGCAAGAGAGAGTTTGCAGTATTTTTACATTCAGCATATACACCAAGTAAGATCTGAATATCAACCACTTGCAATAGTTCTGCATGAAAATTATTATCTGAGCATGCTATTTTGAATGCACTAGTTCAGGGGTCTGCAACCCGCGGCCCCGGAGCAGCATGTGGCTCTTTTACACCTTTGCCGCGGCTCCGGGGCGGATACTAGCGAGGGGAGGAGGCACATTGTGCGCCCCGACACTCCCCACTGCGGCAGGCGCTGTACTGGCTGTGACGTCGCATGGGGGCGGTGCGTGCGTTAGTCACGCACCGTCCCGTCACCTTCCCACCCGCTGTCAGATCGGAGGGCAGCGACGCGCATGCTTTAAATGTCGCAATGGTTTTGCAGCTCCCAGGTGTTTTTTTCTTCGGAAACGGGTCCAAGTGGCTCTTTTTGTCTTAAAGGTTGCAGACCCCTGCACTAGTTTGATGCTGTAGATAGAACCGGAAGTCTCAGTTTTAAATTTCTGCTTAGCCACAAAGCAATCTGGATAGTGATTGGCAACTCACTCTCTCACACAGCTGGTGTAAGGATAAATATAACATGACCCCTAAACTACTTGAAAGGGGGAACAGTAAACAAAATGTAATAAATATATAAAAGTTGCTCCAATGCGCAATACATGGAAATTGTAGGGATATTAAGACGAAAGTGTGTATATGAACTACCCACTCAACTTTTGAATCATAGTCTATGGATGATATCTGATCAAGTCTTATTCCTGGTAGACTCACTGAAATAATGGACACTTATTAATATATTATTTTACATTTTATTAATATGAAATAAATTGCCTTTCTTCAGTGGGTCAACTGAGTATGATCTGGTTGCATACTATCCCTAAGAGCATTATATTGACATCCTCTTTTCAATAATTGTTTTCAAGTTTTCTGCTAATATTTCTGTTACCAAAAAGAAACACGCTCCCCCAGAGAAAACAAGAGGTATTAGTGTTACAAAATCACCAGAGCTGTTACGAATTTGCAAAAGCTATCTTTATTAAACAGCAACAGTAACAAGTTTTCTATTCCTTCGTCTGTTTGTCAAGGAGGAGGAGATGCAAACTTACTTCTTCTTCATCTGGTTCAGTCTCCTCCGTTTCCATCGTTGAGATATTTGCGACTGGCTTGTTCCAGGCCAACTTCAGGTCTTGCCCTTTGAAGCGAGATCCATGGATAGCAGCCTAAGGAGAAGAGCAATATTCTCTTTAAAACGAAACATGTCCTCTGGGGGGAAATGGTCGAATGGCAACAAATACCAGGATAAACTGCATGCGCCTCTGCGTAACTAGGCTGCAACTGAAGTAGTTGTCCCAACTCTCAGGACTTGTGTTTTTAGGACAGTACTTCATTATGCCACATGGCAAATCACTTTGGAAAATGTGTGTATTAACAAAAGCAGGTTATGATATAGCATTGGGAGGTGGGGTTTTTTTTTGGGGGGGGTTGTTATTTAAAGTACAAATTGACACCCCAGTGGGCATCCCCAAGTCCTTTGGCAAATTTTAAGCCTAGGTTTCAATGCAGGTGTGCAGTATACAAGGTATACTGTAGTCTTAGTATTCTATTGCAGATTACTATTTCAAAGGTAAACCTGCATGCAAGCCTTTCCAGATTTCTTTTGGTGTCTACACATACACAAGGCAATGAAGAAAAATGATTTTTTCTTAAAGTCCTGAATTATTTCAACATGCAGGTAGCATGCTGTTCAGAGAAGCCAATTGTTTCTGAACAATCTCCTCATTGGTGTTTTGCTTTTGAAATATTGATACTTTTTAATCTTCATACATTATTACTACTGCCCAAAACGGGGCATCCTGAAAATAAAACTGAGTTGATTTTTTTTTAAAAAAATAAACTTAAAGAATATAACTTATTCTGCCGAAAAGCATTCCATTTTCTGTAAAGGCTTGGTAATTGAAATGTAAAAGATAAAAAAATTAACCTATGGGATATTCATGCCTTCTTAAGTACCAGCTGCATTAAGTGGCTGCTTTGGAAATAGTATGTTCAAATTAAAGTAACATGAACTAGCATAAATCAGTGTTAGCAACATTCCGAAATAACTGCCACAGTCACAAAAGATTTATAGTACAATCTGAAAGTACAGCATAATGTGAAATGTGGAAACAATTACATGTTTGATGACATCTGAACATGAATTGTGTGATATTAAGGTCCCCAGGTATAAATTTTAAATCTGTACATATAAATTTATGATCAATTTTAAAAAGATTCCATGCCTATTAAAATGCACCACAGGAGTGGGCTTTTTGTCCATGGTCTCATCACAATGTCACAAACTGGAATTTTTAAAGAATACTTGAATACTTATATATGACATTTGGGTTCAGAAACAACTTGTAATCTTTGAAAGAAATTACTGCAACATAAAAATGCAACGTTTTACGACTAGGGAACGCTCCTCACCCTTCCAAGCTCAAATGCACACGACCATAAAACTTAAACCTCTTTCATTCAAGACAGTAAAATATTAGCTACCATTCCTTCAAAGAAAGCTATAACTACTTTGAAGATTAACTTGTACTACCAATTATTATTTATAATATATTTGATTTGCTAACAAGTAGAAACTTAACTTGCAGATATTTGATTTATACACTATGAACTTTTTTTTTGTTAGTTTTACAGCTAATCAAGTTCCTCTGCTTGTATTCGAGAAAATATTCATATCCATAACACAATCAGATTGCAAGTTTTAGAGAAAACACAAATGTGTTGTTCCATTCGCAATGTGCACAGAGGACCCCTCTTCCAGGCACTCAGGGTTTTGGAGCGCATCTTTGTGGCCTTAATCTTTCCAAAGTAATTTTGCACAAAACTTTGCTTCACCATTTAGTGATGAAATACTGTTAGAAGCTGCAAGATGTTAAAGAGAATCCTAGTTGACGATCCCTGTGCTCACAAGCATGGAAAACAAACGTGTTACAAGGAATTCAGGCCGTAGGTCTTTCTAGCTTTCATAAAGCACATTTTCTCTTGATTCTTCAACTAAAAACTGAGAAAGAGAACTACTGTACAACCAAAGAAAACACCGATATGAAAAAAGCTGATAAATAGAACAGAGGTCAGCGTTCCAAACTGCATTTTACACACACACAACCATGAAGGGAAGAATTCAATGTAGTGCTGTGGCAATCATTCCCTAGACCAGGGGTCAGCAAACTTTTTCAGCAGGGGACCGGTCCACTGTCCCTCAGACCTTGTGGGGGGCTGGACTATCTATCTATCTATCTATCTATCTATCTATCTATCTATCTATCTATCTATATTGGGGGGGGGATGATGAACGAATTCCTATGCCCCACAAATAACCCAGAGATGCATTTTAAATAAAAGGACACATTCTACTCTTGTAAAAACACGCTGATTCCTGGACTGTCCGCGGGCTGGATTGAGAAGGCGATTGGGCCGGATCTGACCCCTGAGCCTTAGTTTGCCTACCCAAGCCCTAGACACAAGCATTTTCGTATGATGCTTGGAACGAACCCCCCTCTCCACATTCTGCATGCTGTTGTGGAGGTTCTCTCAACGCTCCCAGAGCCAATCGGTTGTCTGTGCGGTGGCCCGGGGTGGGGTAGGGAGGGAAGATCCCTGCAGCACCAGCAGAAATCCTTCCATTAATGGGACTCCTTAGCTGAATCCAATCCAAAGTGCTTAAGGTTACATTGCCAGACACACTTCATTATAGGAAACGCCCACCCCCCCACCCCCCGCAGTCCTCTGTCCCCCAACATCTTAGATTGAAACAGGAAAATGAGAGCAAAGCTTCTTTGTGAGTACACACTCGCTTTATTTCAGTGGTTTGGTCTTCATTATTTAATTAAATAACTGAAGCCAGACAAAGTGTATGCTAATACACAACACATGTATTACAGGTAACAGGAAGGAGGAGAACACAGAAGCTCTGTACAATAGTTAGATGCAGTTAAACTCAACCTTACCACCTAACATGAAAACAAAAAAGGAGGATATACTTACTGCCTCGGCTTCTGCTCTCGTCTTGAAAGTAATCACTGCATGGAGAGACGAGTCATCTATCTGGCAGTCTTCAATTTCACCATATTGCTTTTTAAGAGGAGGAAAATTGTCACCTTACTGAAATAATCTCTCCTTGATGCATAACATGCAAGGGCTGTTAACAGTTCTGGATTGATAACGCAACCTAATGGTCCCAAATCTTCTAAAATAGTTGTAAAATAAACCATCCCCAACCCAAATTTTTAAAAAATGGAAGAACAGGAAACTGAAAATGAAACTTAAGCAAATTTAAATATCAAGGAAAACAGATATTCAATTTATAAATAGGTCACTAATGATAACTTTTATGATTCCAAAGAGCAGCCCAATAATTTATTATGTCGGATGTACTTTAACGTTTGACCTGAAACTTTGCTTGCTTTTGACTTTGGATCAAGAGAGCTATTTTCAGTTCTTAGTTCCACTAAGGGTAGCTTCACATGAGTATGTAAAATAAACTCCATGTAGAAAAAAACATAGGCATTGAGTGTTTTACACAGGTCAGGGAATGGCTGTTGCCCTTCTAGTTAATATATTCACAGTAGAAACAAACAGTTGCAACATACTTCAAATTATGCAACAGCACACTCTTGAGATAATTTCTGTGCAAAAAAGCCAACATGTGTGACAGGTGCCCATTTGTCTTCTCTCTGAATGACTGTTTGCCAGCACGGACGGACAACTTAGGAAAGGCATCAAAGCAAACCCGCAGTACTGACTGTAAGAACCAATCATCCCTGTCCATTGCAACTTAATTTCACATACTTGACAGAACATTATTATAGTGCCCGCCTAGCCTAAGGCCTTCCTCCGGAAGTTAGAGATGCATATTTGATTTACAACGCTTTGCTGATTTTCACTGATCACAATCACACTGCAACAGAATGTTAGGTTTCTAAGACATATTATCACACTGAGATCAGGAAGGCAGTGGGGCGGGTACATACCGCAAAATGTGGGAGGAGATCTTCTCGGTCGTTCTCTGTAAAAGCAGAGATTTCAAGTGCCCTTGGACGATGATCCACCACAGCATGGCTAGGAACACCTCTTCCCCGACCCCGGCCTCGTCCTCCCCTGCCTCTGCCGCGAGACGCACCGCGACCTCGTGTATGAATTCCTCTCCCACGACCAGAGGACAAAATTCCTCGTTTCGCAGCCTAACATGAAATAACAACAACATCTAATACAAGCCAAACTTATCCATATGTGTAATAATAATAATAATAATAATAATAATAATAATAAAATGTATTTATATCCCGCCCTCCCCAGCCAAGCCGGGCTCAGGGCGGCTAACAACAATAAAATAATACAACATTCTAAAACCATTTCATTATAAAATTAATTCAAATCATATTGATGGCAACCATTGGGCTAGAGTTCTGTGAAGATTGCCAAAGGAGGGAGTCAGGCTGTGCCCTGGCCAAAGGCCTGGTGGAACAGCTCTGTCTTGCAGGCCCTGCGGAAAGATGTCAAGTCCTGCAGGGCCCTAGTCTCTTGCGACAGAGCGTTCCACCAGATCGGAGCCACAGCCGAAAAAGCCCTGGCTCTAGTTGAGGCCAGCCTAACCTCTCTGTGGCTTGGGACCTTCAGGATGTTTTTGTTTGAAGACCGTAAGTTCCTCTGTGGGACATACCAGGAGAGGCGGTCCCGTAGGTACGAGGGTCTGAACTTATGCTACTGTAAACCTTAAAACATCTCGATGATATACCAATATTGTTATTATTTCCACATGTAATGGGACTCAGGGAGATTGTCTAATTGCAGTGTTTCCCAAACTGTTTTCAGACTGCAATTCCCTTCATCCCTGACCACTGGTCTTGCTAGCTAGGGATGGTGGGAGTTGTAGTCCAAAAACAACTGGAGATCCAAGTTTGAGAAATGCCAGTCTAATGCTACCTCAGGAATTTATGGCAGAGGTAAGATCTGAGCCAGACTTGCCAACTGACAGCTTATTCCCTTTGCAGCACCACACCAAGTCACCTTGAATAGCAAACCTCTTGAAACACAACCCAGAGCAATTATATGCAACAACTTTCATACGCAGGCACAGATTCTAGGACTCCCAAAGACATTTGATCATTCCAGATCCACCCATTCATTTTCTTATCTCTCTAATATGAGGTAGTGGTCAGTCTGTTTTGTCCTGGGCCAAATTCATGTCTGCCCGATTTAGGAAATACTATGTGCCTGATGGGATTACAGGCTCTCTCCCCATGGATACGCTGCACTGAGTCAGAGATGCAAGGCAGGCAGAGGAACACACAGATGGAAAGATCCTTCAAGATTTTGCCACTTCTTATTTCCATATTCTTGGGGACAACATGACAGCAGTATATATATGGTGCAGCAAATCACCTAACAGGGCAGCAAATGCCAGTGTATGAAGTTTAGGCCTGGTAAAGGCACTTCCAAAGAAATATGAAAGAATGCTGATCAAGCTGGCATTACGTAACACTTCGTTTTAATATGCTTTGCAAACCAATAAGAATTGGGAAGCAATAATTAGCAAAATTCAGTTTCAAAGAGAAAGAGAACTAACTTTGCATCAGATGACCTTCTGCCATTCATTTCACTTCACTCTAGAAGTCTGAGCTTAACATAGAATCATTTTAAGGTAATGCATTATTTTCAATGCGCTCACGTTCTTTTAAAGGCAGTGAATCGAAAACAGACATTTCCGTAACTGCTTACCAGTTCTAAACACCAACAGCACCACCTAGGGGAACATTTTGAAAATGCATGCTGCTCCCAAAGTTAAGTTATTTGGATGTTATTTTGGATATAATGCATAAACTTCATCTTCTGGGTCAGGGTGGGATATTTTATTTTATGTGTATGATGTTGTCATATGTTGTAAGAATCTATTTTTTCCTAACTGTTACACAAATTCACTGAGGGGGGGATACATGTGGAATAGTGCCGTGCTGACCATAAAAATTAAATAAACTTACTTCAAGCTGCAGTTCTGTGTACTTTCGTCTTAGTTCAGTGACTTCTTCGCCTGCCTGCATCTTCTTATACAAGTCCAACTCAGTGTCCAGTAGTTCTTTTTGCATCTAAGGGATACTAAGCAATTTAGTATGCATTTCTTAACTCGTGCAGAAAATGTGGGAGTAAATAGCCAGACTCCCATAGAGCATTACAATGTTTCAAGTTTCAGGGGGAACGTCTTCAAAAGAAACATTAGCTGACATCTATGGGATGGATGATTGCTAGGTTAGCATAAGGGCCTACTTCTTCTTTTAACGGGGTATAAATCCAGGAGGTGGCGCTGTGGGTAAAAGCCTCAACGCCTAGGACTTGCTGATCGAAAGGTCGGCGGTTCAAATCCCCGCGGCGGGGTGCGCTCCCGTCACTCGGTCCCAGCGCCTGTCAACCTAGCAGTTCGAAAGCACCCCTGGGTGCAAGTAGATAAATAGGAACCGCTTACTAGCGGGAAGGTAAACGGCGTTCTGTGTGCTGCGCTGGCTCGCCAGATGCAGCTTGTCACGCTGGCCACGTGACCCGGAAGTGTCTGCGGACAGCGCTGGCTCCCGGCCTCTAGAGTGAGATGAGCCAACAACCCTAGTGTCTGTCAAGACTGGCCCGTTCGGGCAGGGGTACCTTTACCTTTAAATCCAGGAGGGTAATGCAGTTTTATTTTTCTCAAATTTCAAAAATTGTCTCCTCCTCTCCCACACTGAAAACCGCCTTAAAGGTAAAGGGACCCCTGACCATTAGGTCCCGTCATGGCCAACTCTGGGGTTGCAACACTCATCTCGCTTTATTGGCCAAGGGAGCCGGCGTACAGCTTCCGGGTCATGTGGCCAGCATGACTAAGCCGCTTCTGGCGAACCAGAGCAGCGAACGGAAACACCGTTTACCTTCCCGCTGTTTACCTTATCTACTTGCACTTTGACGTGCTTTCGAACTGCTAGGTGGGCAGGAGCTGGGACCGAACAACGGGACCTCACCCCGTCGCGGGGATTCGAACCGCTGACCTTCTGATCAGCAAGTCCTAGGCTCTGTGGTTTGGATTTAGCATAACCTTGGTGTGTTGTAATGACCCACCAGTGACAGGTGAATGGATTCAAACTTCTAATCAGCCATAAAGGTCGCTTGGTGGTTTTAAGCAAGTCACTACTTCTCAGTCTTATCTATTTCATGGGATTGTGGTGGTGGGAAAGAGAGAGTCCTATGTATGTTATCTTGGAGGATAAGCAAAACAAAAATGTGATCAATGCATCCGCTCCCAGCTTTCCGCAGCAAACTTATACATCAAAAGAAAATGATTTAAAGAAAAGAAAGATTAAAAGCATCCAATGATGACAAAATACAGATACCTGTGTTTTTGTTTTCATGTTTTTCAAGGGAGTGCTTGCTGGAGTGGAGACCCCTTTCAATTCATCCTTTAACTTGGTAATGCTGTTAGTCAAGGTCTCCAGAGTTTTCATGATTTCAGCTTTGTCCTCCGATTTCATCGTTTTATTCTTCTCCAGTTTTGAAATCAGCATCTATTGAAATTACACATATTACTAACAGGAACCCTTTACACGTGGGTTATTTTTCATCTTCAGAGGAAGTTTATCTAAGCTTCCCACCATCGCACACATTTATGAAGACACAAGTTTTTTTAAATTCTCCATACATAAGGAAAGCTGCCAAATATCCAAAATGGCACCAACATCCATGGAAAACAGCTCCAACTGGAGAGAGGAATTAGACAACCCTTAGATTCTGATGTAGGAACTACAGTCTTGACACCAAACTTAGTGCGCTTAGAAAGATGCATGGAGAACTCTCCAATACAAAATCCCACTAGTCATTCTTGTAACTCTTCTACAAAATTTGTAAACTGTGCTCTCCTCTGTGAAGAGCTGGGAAAGAACAGCTAGGACAACTTGTGGAAAAGCTTGGCGGCGTTTGGCAGATTTGAACTGAATTTGTAGAAGCTCTCCACAACTTGATTTTTTATGCTGTTAAAAGCCATATTCTTAAAGTAGTACTAGCTTGGCAGTAACACCAGCTGTGAATAGCATGGATTGCTTCAGCTGAGAATCTGGAATTATTTTTCCATGAGCCAGATCCAAAAGGTTCTGTCCACGGAAGGAGTTATTTCTTTCTTGGAAGGAGTGTTTTACCTTCCACAGGGGCTTCCATGAATGAAAGTGGGAGGGCGATTCTTCGCTAGTTCTCCCTTCAGCCCTATGACATCACCTCACACAGTTTGAGTGTCCCTGGACCTTCCAGAGTGGATTTTTGGTTGGTGACCCAAGTGGAATTCCACTCAAATAACACAGACTAATACCTAGGATACGGAGGCAGAGGCTTCCACCCCATTAATTCCATCACCACTTTCTGTTTTACTTGCAAAGTTTCATCTGGGTGTGCACAAGCTCACACCACCCCAGATTCATTAATTTTAGTGGGATCCCTATGAGCACTGGAATGATATGTAAGATTTGTGCTTCACCTGAATCACCACTTAGCAACCTTTACAGCACAGGATTTTACAGTGATGTAGCAAGCACTGTATCTTACAACATTGCTTCTCAAACTATGTTGCTGTGGTGGATCAACAACCCACCCACAATATGCCATTATTTGGTTCCGGAAGCATCTTACTCAACCTGGGCTGTGATGGGGTCATGGACCAGCAACTGACGGCTTGTGGGCCAACATCAGTCCATGGACCACCACTTTGAGCAGCACTATCTTACAATACATCAATGATTATTAATATTATTCAACAGTAGTCCAATTGCATAAATGTATGTATTTACCTTTTGTGTTTCAATGTGCTTTTCTAAAATCTCTTGCTTTTTCTTTCTCACATCTTGCTGAAGTCTTAGTGCCTCCTGGAAGCATAAAAACACAATTATTATCACCCACTGTTAAACATAAGCTGATGAGTAACTGCGCAATTCCACCCATTTTACCCATATATACTGTCCTATTAGAATAAACCAATAATGTGGAAAGAACTGATGTGACTGAGCATGGGCACGGTGAAGGTGATCTCCAATAATGGTAGCCATACCACTAACTAGTGCCTATGTCTAAGTGTAGCACAACAGCAGAATCCAATGGGTATTTAGCATTTGTGAAAGATCACATTCAGCCCCTAGTGCAACTATTAAACTCTGTATGCTACCACGTGCACAATATTAGTTCTCAAACATCTTGAGCTAACAATACATGGAATCTCGCCTTGAATCATTGTGATATCATCTCTTCCTATATTTATAATTGACAGAGAACAGCAGTATGCACAGTTACATCATTTGACATGTGTTATTTTTGGACCAAATGCTTGTGTTATATCTGCTCCTCTGGACCCAATTCCCTTACCACATTCAGGATTAAGAAGTGCAAGGTTCCACACTTTGCTATGGGGATGCTGCACCATTGCACCATTTATGTATTTAGAGCTTTTTGTGCATTACGTTTTGTCACAGGTGCCATTCTGGAATTCCAAGATTACTAATTCTGTGCTATTTACAGGAGGATTTGTTGGAGCATTTATAAAGTTAGGGATCTGGAGGATGCGTAACTTTTATGGCTAAATTGCATCTTTCTAGTAGCTAAATTAACAAAAATATTAAAATATATTGGATTTCCAACTAATATGCATTAAGAGCCTACAGAAAAATAGCTACACATAGCAAGAAAATGCAATTCATTAAATCTGGAATGCATTCTTAGGACTGCTTCAGTAAATGTTTCTGAATTCCTTGTTTCCTTTCTGTTTGACCTTTCCATGACTCTTTGAATAAGGAATTGCAAATGAAGTTGTTTTATGTTAACAGAAATATTTACTGGTTCATCACAGTTGTAACTGCACATTTATGGTTTTTTTAAAAAAAAAATTAACAGAAAGTTTTCCATTTTGAGGCAAGACACAGTAATGACAGTCATATACTTCAGTTTCATAACTTGAACAAAAGTGAAATTTAAAACAGTTTAACAGAGAAAATTTGTCACAAAGCATGTAAGACTCTAAATTAAGGAAATAATTATCGCTGTAACCCTATGTAGCCTATTTTGCTATTCCAAAACCAGCTTGTTCTCCTCAAAAGCAATTTCTTAAAGCATTGAACCACCTGCATCATGACTTTCAGAGCAAGATACCCAGAAACTCAATTTCTGGTGACAAATATGATTAATATGCAAGGAAATTAGAGGAAATTACTTTTCCCAATGATTAAATACAAAAAGATGCGACACAAATCTGGGTTATTCTGAATCAATGGCCTCTGAGAAAGAAATCTGCATATTTGGTCTCTGCAAATGAAGAAACCAGCCTGCAGAACTGCTACATTAATGGGACTACAGTACTGAGTGATCCAGTCGTTTTCAAATGGAGGTGAATCCCATTCATGTCTGAATTACAATCGAAGAAAATGTGATGCAATAAGAGAAGCTTTCCAAAATATTTGATCAAATGGATTTTATTTTATTGATTTTTCTGTAGTAGCTGAAACAAATCTGAATTTGCAAGAGAAGTGAAAGAAACTCTTTTATCACGACAACTTTCTAAAGTGGTTAATAGGAATACCAGATTTGTAAGAAATCAAACTTGTTTCTGAAAGCAGGTTAACTATGGATCTCACCCCCTTTTATTAGAACATATGCATAGAAATTCTAAAACGTTAGAATTAGGTGTCAATGTTTCAGATATATTGCGCATATTAGCCCTATGTGGCATCTCTTAACCAAAGTTGGGCACCAAACTGAAGGGGCGCTATTCAACTTATTCAGAGTAGACCCATTTAAATTAATGAACATGAATAAGCGCTATTAATTCCAAGAGGTCTCCTCTAAGTAAAACTTAGCCAAATATCACTCAAGGCCTTTCCCCAAATAATCCAGAGCATACAGAGAATTGCAAAGGTCAATAAATGATTCCAAATTGTTACGTTTGGAGACTAAACTGGATAATGCAAGAGTTTCAATTGGTGAATTGTCTGATTTACTTAGATAACATAGATGTGCTGCTAATCTTGGGACATTAGGAAGTAAATTTACCAAGTTTATTTATCTTACGGCAAAATTAAGTATGCAGAATGTCAAATGATTTCTACCACTAGGTGTTACATATATAAATAATACCAGAGTTCGCATCTCCTGATAAATTTTACCACCTGCATCCCTGTTCTGAAGATCTTATCACCTACCCCAGCATTCAAATAAATTCTCATGTCCATAGCAAAGTTCAAATACTAATCACCTTCCCCTAACTATACACTGATAAAAAAATTCAGCTAATGAAAAATGGTTTGAAATTCTGAAAAGGAACGTGCACAATATTTTGTTTTTATACTAGGGTTTCTTCAGCGAAATACTGTGCAGAATATTGCAAATCTGATGTTGGAAACTTACAGCCCTGAAAGGAAAATGCCGATAAAACATTTTACGCTTGTCCACATCAAGTGAAAAAAGAAAGAAGTCTCCTCTCCGTGGATAATGAGAAAATGCAAGACGTTAAGAGAAGAGAAGCAGCAGCTCAAGGCAGAGATTGTTCAGGATTATTTAACTCTAGAAAAGTGAGATGAATACACCCAAAGATGAAGTGCATTGGAAAAAAAGGTAAGAAGAAAACTGGTCCAATATGCTGTGAAAAAAGTGACGACTCAGAAAGCTATGCAGGAAGAACAGCAGCAGAAAATACATACTACTGTAAAATGTAACATGAAACGAAGTTCTATCCTTAAGATCAACACAAGATTAAACTGCTACTTGAGGCTAAGGGCATTTCAGTAATTGGTACTGAAGATGTTTCTTTCATGCTTTTGAGTGTAAGATCTTCAAATAGCTCATTGTGCTTTATCGTGTAGAGGTCATCGTTTGTGTTCTTTTGTCCACAGTATAGAGATTTAGCGGGCCAGACGTAATTCATGATGGTATTATTTCTATGTAGGCACTCAATATCAGAAGTTAGGCACCAAACCAAGTCTAATGAAAGTCACAAGATATGAGTAACTCATATGTAACTTCCCCTACATTCTCCTTTGCTTCTGCACATAAATCCTCCTTCCATTTTGCTTTATAATGCTGATATAGCACTAAATCGGCACCTGAATTTCCACTAGCCACGAACTGCTCAGCCTTCAGTTTACAAACCCACCACTAACGTTAGCTGCAACTGATTTGGAGTAGAGCGTTTTTAGCAAGCACACTAGTGAGGACAAGACACTATAGCACAGTTAGCTCGAAAAATGGAAGGGAAGGGAATCTGTTAAAAAGAGGGGAAGACGCAGAGAAGGGGGCATCTTCAATCCAATCGTTGTTAGATGATCAGAAAGCTTTAGGCTGCATCTGGCCTGACCCCTTCACCTACAATCACAACTGCGATTACAACTGTCTTATCTTTTTGTAAATCGCTTTGTGGTTTTTTCTTACATTCAAGCAGTATATAAATATTATGAAATAGAAAAATAATTCACACAACTAAATTGTAACAATTGGTCTGAGTACTATATCTTCTGCAACCATAGAAGCCAAGTAAGATAATCAAATCGCATCTGCCTTAGGTAGCAAGGAGAAAATTACCCCTTCCTAAAATGTGTCCATGAAAGCAGATTCAGGTTTAGCCTTTACTGAGAAGATGCACCAACAAAATATCTCAAACTGCAACTTTTGAAATAATTTTCAGAACTTGACAGAGATTCTGGCAAAGGCGCAGTATCCAGCTTCTTCAGGAATAAGCAATCATGGCAAACTATGTTCTAGATGTTGCAAATTTCTAAATAAATTATTGCTGTTTTATAAATAAGCAGAGTTCAATTTACCTGTTTTTTCTTCTGTGCTTCACTAGAATCTAGCATGGAACTGTTAACAACAGGCAACATTTTCTGTGCTGCTTTCAAAGCAGCTGGGTTATACACTGTTTTTGTCAAGCCAGTAGAAGTAGACAACACCTACAGAAGGAAACCATTTTATTTTGCTAGTAAATAAAGAATTCGTAAATATAGGATTCAAAGTATATTACTCCAAGACAGACGCTTGTTGCTGTGATTGCAAAGATGGCATGAACATAAAAAATGGAGTAAACAGACTCATGTCAATTTAAAGACAGACTAGGACTGCCTCTAAAGTCAGAATTCCAGAATTGTTTTCCATATGTTGTAGAAAACTATCTACTTGAGCTTTATCAACATGTGCCTCTGTTTCAGCAGGAAAGTTGTGCCTGGCAGTTTCTATATGAATCAGATGATGCAATATAATCAGTTAATGAAGAGATGGGAGTTCCCATTTCTTCACTTATTTTGGGGTGAATATTTTAAGTGCTGACAAGTGATGTAGTTACAAAGTCATAGAATTCCACAGCTGGAGTATAGCTAATAAGATCAATTCCCAGCTGCCAGCAATTGCCCGAGATGTTTGTTATGTCCCTAGCATCCTAGAAAGAAGCATTATATCCAACATGGTTAAAAAACATATAGCTCAAATAAACAAGCAAGCCAAGCTGCATGCAAGCCAAGCATTATGCAGTATTGGAGGATAAAACACAACAACTCAGTAAAATTGACTTGGGGAGAGATTCATTCCCACTGTGGAACAAGTTGATCACTTACACCCAAGTATACAAGCAAGACACATAACTACTCTTCTGACTACAGAACCCTAGGATATAGTAGCTCTATAGCCAAGGTAGATATCTGCTTAGCAAACCTAAGAATTTCTATATTGCCAAAAAGTCTTTCATTGAAAAACACAAACTATACAGAGATCAATGTTCTTCTCAGAAGTTCCTAGCACAGTAAAACCTAGAAGCAGATTCTCCGCTGATCCCTACCCGCTCACCCCCAAATGGTTGTTGCTTAACGTATGAGGATGTCAAGTGGGATTGTTGACTTTCCCCTTTGAACGGCAGATCGCCATCCTGCCATACAAAATTGCTTTTAAACATTTCTCAGCTTCAAGAGAGTTTTGCAGTACTGAATATTACGGTCTAAGAAACAAGTCTCAGAAATACGCTCCATAAACTTAGCACAGATCTTATTCGTCACCCAACCCACACGCAGGAAAAAAACAATAAAGGGGGGAAAGGTGTTAACTCTCTTGCCTCACACTGTGTCACAAATGAAAGGATTCAAATAAAAAAATCAGAACCAGTCTTATTTTGTATCGTGCGTCATCAAATGCAGAAGCAACGCCACCAAGCCAAACAGTTTGTTAATATGTATATTGAAGCTATGTCAAAGTAGAAGTAAATAACACCTATAGAAGGAAACTATTTTCAAAATATTCCTTTAACAGGCACTAGAAATGAATTCTAGGGTGTCAAATCTATTTTAAGCATTCACAAACATGCATGACCTTAATTTAAGGTTATTCTCCCACCCCCTTTTCTGCAACACTGACCCTATTCACACATTACTTGCAAGTAGGGCATAATAAGTATTTAGAACAAGCAGCTGGGCTGTGTTCTTATCATGAACTGAGTCTTTCCCCACTCCTCAAAAACCATCAAATGAACAAAAAGCCCAACATATTGAGTTCCTGACGCACTCAATCAGGACACCTGATCATGGAGGTGCCCTGTTCATGTGGAGCCACTACTCGTGAGCAAGAGTCTGCACACTGGGCTGTCCGTTAACACAACCACACATAGCGCTACATTTGTGGGGAGAAGGAAAAACGCACAATGCTGTGGGAAGGCCTAAAAGCACAGCCCTGCTCCTTGCTCTACAATGTAAGACATAAACAAAGTAAGACGTAAACAGGGCTTTCAACTAGCTTTCAGAAAGCTTATAGCACTAAGTGTGAGCAATTTTATCCAAGTCAAACGATCCTGAAGCACATTTCACGTATATTGGTTCAGCAAGAAGCTAAGTCCACAATCCAAGGGCAGCAGTAGATGAAGATGCTGCACCCATTCCAGACAACCTCTCTTTCCCCTTTCTATCATGCAGTTTTCACCAAGCAGAACAGAAGAGCTCTAGAAGGGAGCAGCATCTCAGTCCTGCGAGATGCAGGTCATGCACCCAAGCAGGCTGGGCAAGCAGTAAGGCAACAGCAAAAGCAACACCGAAAGCAAAAAGCAGAACTCAGCAGAAGCTACCCTTCACTCACTAGGAACATTCAGAGTTTTCAGGAAGAAGGCAGCTCACCCATGCAGTTCCAACTCTTACTGAATATCCTAGACCTCCAAAGAAGTAGAATCACGGTAAGGGATGCCTGTCACCAGATCTCAGAGGCCATTTCCAACGGACCATAATTTTGTCCACTCTTCATTCACAGGCCCAATCTCAATTTAGTATTACAAATGATAACCCTGTCATGCAAGCTCCTGCCCAAACCACAACCATTTAGGTTTCATGAAGACGCCTATATATACTGAAAACTTTATTTCATCTTAACTTTGTCAGCAAGGTTTAGTTGTGTTCAATTCACTGCAGAGTTCTATTCAGTGGAAGGAGGAGGAGGAGGAGGAGGAAGAGGAGAGGAAGAAGAAGCATGCAATCATTTTGCATTCACATGTTTAATGGACATTAGAAGCACCTATGCTAAGTGTGCATGTGATATTATTGCTATGTGACAGTTCAAGGGCACGATTATTTCCTTACCTTTTCAGTGGCTGGAGTGGGTGGTTTAGGTACAAAGCCCAGCCTTTCCTTCACAGACAGTTTTGTTACATTCTAGGAAAAACAATTTAAAAAATAGTTTGTGATCATGTATTTTTAAACTAAACACAGGCATTTCTCACTTTAAGCTATAAGCAAAGCCATTATTTCTTAAGCTTCTGCATTTTCAAATATTCTTTTAAGTTCAGTTAGAAAGGCTGGCCTGGTTGGTAGGTAGGCCGGAGAGATGGCTCTAGTACAGCCTCCAGGAAGTTGAAAGAAAAGGTGTTTGCAGCATATGAGAGTAAGGAGCACCACTTTAGCAGTCATGGCCAACAGTTAAGAATCTGTCGCCCGACCTTTGCTGGATGTGGTAGGATTCAGGAGCTCCATTGCTGGCATGGCAGCTGCCTATCCCAGCAACAAGGAGGGCAAGGTAGTGAAAAATTGTCAGAGCACCAGGGTAACACATCCTCCTGCATTATTACAAGACCCTGTAGCTTTGCAGGACCTTGAGGGTTGGCAGAGAGATGTCAGCAGTTTGGAAGCCATGCTACAAAATGCTTGGGAAGAGCAGGCCAATGAGATGCAGCACCAAAACTTGCAAAAGGGGCTGTGGAGAGGCTAGGATGAAGAAAAACGCATCAGGGCATCGATGAACCAACCCCCTTGCCTCCAACTAAGGTCATATGGTTTTCCCACACCCAGGATGAAGCTGTGCAGTAGTTCTTGTTTGGATAATATACCAAGAACTGCATGAAGACAGATTGCAAACCGATTTAACAAACGTGAATACAATTCGTCAACTCAACAGTGTGCTCTCTGCATTTTCTTTAGAGGGCACACCGTTAAGATAATCTTATAATGGAATTAGGAGTTATGGGAAGCACACAGATATCACAAAAAAATAGCAGTGCCATGTCACTACCTCAATCTCCCTAAAACATGTGACAAAATGACACTGTTTTCCATAGTTCCATAAAAACAGAAAATAAAAATTGCTTTGCCCATATTTTTCCACATAAAGACCTTTGCTTAAGTGTATAGGTTTTGCTTGTAAAATAATTGGCATTTTCCAATATTGGTATGATATGTATTTTGTACCAAGACTTTTAATATTACCCAACCAGCAGCATAAAAGACAGATCTTTCATCTTTGACAAAATAGTATATCACAAGGGTATTATGCCAGTTATCGTCTAGGGGTGTGAAAGGGAGTTTTTTAAAGAGCCTATAACCTGGTCCACAAATTGAAACATGGTTTTTTTACCAGTAGTCTGTAATAGGGGAGGGAAACTATCTATACATTTCAGTATGTTTATTATATAAAGGCCACCAATTTCTGCTAAATAGAACCTTTTATCAGAGAAAATTTCAGTTTAGTTTTACAGATCTCTTAATATTTTAGAAAACAAATATTATACCCACCTGAACAGCTTCTGTACTGGCACTCTGAGCTTCAGCAGGCTCAATGTTACTGGCAGGTACTGGACCTAATCGTTCCTTGACAGACTGCTTCACAACAGGTAAAATGGGCTGTTGAGCTAAAGGCTGCATTACCTTAAAAAGAAAAGCAGATTTTTATAGCAGCACATGAACATTTCAAAATGAACTTTTCACCCCCAATACCATTTTTAAATGTTTAAGTGCAGATGTTCTCATTCCTCCATTGCTTTCTAAACTGCAAGTATTCATCTGCTGAAGAAATTTCCTAAGCTAAGCATCAAACACTTTTGTAGGAGCATTTATATTTCAGTGCAATTGTTTACAAAGCTGCAGTACTAGAGTAAATTCTAAGTCTAAAAATGAATTACTTCAAAGTCTAAACAGTCTGACAGTTTGTTTTTACTAACCACTGTTGGAATAAATCAGAATTCTTCATTCCGATGTCCCTAGGAAGTGTAGTTCTAAAGCATAAGGTGAAAAATATTCTCCTTTCATGAAGGAGAAGCATGCAAACCTAAGGCTCATGCAGACTAATTTCTGAAACACTGGACTCTTTGGAACATAAAGCTAAGCCATTGTTTGTTTAAATAGTGTGGCTTGTTTGAACATTTGAACTGAACCCAGTCCTGTAGGCTAATCATGGTTTGTCTTCTAGCAACAAGCCCTGATGTGAAGCCGTGATTTTTTTGTTGGCTTGTTTTAACTATGGTTTGGTATTATGCCTGAACAGCCTTGCTTAACCATGGTTTAGTTAGCTACTCTACCCCAGGTGCTTGCCAGGCTACAAAGGAACAATGCAAAAGCAGGTGGAAAAGCAAGCAAACCATGGCTTAGTTAGGTGCAAATGCAGTTAGGTGTAGTTTAGGTGCAATTGCAGCCACTGAATTACCGGTACATCTGAGTCAGGCTGCTATCTTGTGTTTGTAGCACATCAGATATTAAATGAATTACAACTGCTAACCTCCCAACATTACCCCTGAGGCCTCCTCAAGGGTAGGATGTTTTTGCATAAATAAACACAAGTATACATAAATGCGTATGTGCATGAAAACTAATGTATGTTTACGTGGATTAAAAAAAATAAACAAAATTTAAATCAGGTTTCTTCTACCCCTTTACCTTCTGTACTGAAGTTGACATTGGTGGGGCACTGCCTTCTCTATGCCAATAGACTTTGATGAAGCGATTATTTAATACTGCTTCTGTGCTCGATATAGCTTTCTTTGCCTCCTCATGGGTAGCAAACTGGATAAGGGCACCTTCTGGATCTCCCTGATAAGCAACCTATGATTTTCAAGAAAAGCCAAGAATAAGAGCAGAAATAATAACTCACAGGCTTGCTGTCCCCATTCAGCCACATCCCTTGGGAAAACTAACCCCAAACCGCCAGCGTGCTAGACTTTCAGAAGCAAAATGTGTCCTGCCTCAAAGATACCTACAGCTATAATCTAAGCAGGCAACAGGAGTTGGATAGGGAAGTGAGGAGTAAGTAGCAAGAGAGAATGAAGATAGAAGAATAACTATTAATACAGTCAAACCTTGGTTCCCAAACACCTCCGTTTTGGAACGCTTCGGCTCTCGAAAGCCGAAAACCCGGAAGTGTTCCGGGTTTCAAATGTTTTTCAGAAGCCAAATGTCCAATGCGGCTTCCACTTGAGTGCAGGAAGCTCCTGCAACCAATCAGAAGCAGGACTTTGGTTGTCAAATATTTTGGAAGCCGAGTGGGCTTCCAGAATGGATTACCTTTGACAAACAAGGTTTCACTGTAATGCACTTGGAACACCATTTCTAAATGTACAAACACTGTCCAAAATGTGCATTAGTACTTTATAAATAGTAGCCTTTCTTTCTAATTTCAGGCCCTCTTTTTTACTATATACAGGTGGAGGGGATGACAGAACATTATTTTCCAGAGGGTGAAAACAACAACATGGTCACACTTGCCTCTGCACATCCTTCTGTATAATGATTTGTGTGCAGAGCTCCTTTCTTTTAGGAATAGCAGTGTAGAAAACCACTGCAAGGCTATCTGAATATGTAAGACATGGCAGTTTTGTGACATCAACATCCCTAGACCAATCATGCTTCATGTCTCTGCACAATCACAAAGACTTTTGCTCTAAGGCAGTGTTCCCCAACCTTGGGCCTCCAGCTGTTTTTGGATTACAACTCCCATCATCCCTCGCTAGCAAGACCAGTGGTCAAGGATGATGGGAATTGTAGTCCAAAAACAGCTGGAGGCCCAAGGTTGGGGAACACTGCTCTAAGGGATGGAAGTAGTGGCCAGAAGTAAGGAGACAAACTACAGCAGGAGACAAAGGCAATGGGGCTAAGGAAGTGGGATGAGTGCTGAAAGCATAACCATTTATACTTTGCTGTTATATTAACGGTAAAGTGGACTAAATCAAAGAATTTTCAGCTCATCCTTATAAAGCAGGGGTTGCTAACCTAGAGCCCACCTGATGTTGCTAGACTACAGTTTTTCAATCATCCTTGACCACTGACTACACAGGTGAGGTCTGATGAGAGTCTAACAACATCTGGAAGGCCAAAGGTTGCCACCCTGTTAGAAAAAGCACCCTCATGATCTAGGCTCTAATAAGGAGCAATGAAAAAGTCAAAGATACCACCTACCTGCAAATTTACTAAATTTCCAAATTTGCTGAAGTGCTCATTTAGTTTGCTGATATTGTTAAGCTCTGGAGGAACTTTCCTCAATTCAAGTTTAGTATTTTCATTTCCAAATTGCACCTTCTTCTGGAAAGCAGGACTGCTTGTTCTATTAAAGTTTTGCCTGCAATAAAACAATGAGTTGGGGACTGACTTGAGCTACTAGTAGTACATTAATTTGCAAGGGGACAGACAGGTAAGATGTGGGATTTCAGTGAAAACAAGTCTAAAGCTACATTTTAGGAAATGTTCTGGTGTCAACTGAAGACGCTCCTGTCCCTTCGGGCTTTTAGGAGACAGATGTGGAGTCTAACGAGACATTTGGTCTGCTGAGATAAGGAAATTGGTGCAGCTGAACAAATGCTTACATATGTTTTTAATCGCTGTTCTGCAATTCTTACTATTTTGGTAACTGGCCTGAGAAGGGCTGTTTAGAAATGCAAAAAATAAAACACGAGAGTGGAAGGAGTGCACATATTGACACCAAACAACTACCAAAGGTAGCAACCCTATGTTCCCTTGGCCACACGGCTAAGGGGCCACAGGATGTTGCAGACCTTCATTGCAGGCAAAGGCCTCCCAATGGTTTGAGTTTGCAGTGTGGATGCACAAAATGTCTCTTTAAAAGATAAGCAGGGAGGGAGAAGAAACACCAGTTATTCTGGGAGCTGATCCCCTTTAAAACACTTGCATCAACTCACCAGATCTGGGCAGATCTGGGCGGGAGGGTGCTCTGAAATTTTCAGTAATCCAACGCCGAAAGCCTCTTAAGATCACAAGCTTTGTCCACTTTAGATTTTAAGGTTAAAAATGTCTGAATTTCCTTAATTTGCAGATATGTACATATGTTGTCCTCCCTGCTACAAGCTATAGGTATCCATTCATTTGTGCCTCTATAATTGGCACTCAGAGCAGTGTGACTCCCTCATAGGCCAACCAGGGTTTGCATATACTAATTTACTACAATGCCATGCCATGTTGAACCAGACTTAATCATGGAAACCAAATGCTCAAGACTTAAAAGGATGAAAGTCCTCTCCCCCATAATCTAAAAACACATAGTGATGGGGAATTGAAAGGCTGTATAACACAATTTAAACACCTGATTGTACAGGTGTACGGACAAGTGTTGACTACTACACAAAACAACCTGTGACAAACAACCATATCACGGAGAGGGGGATATTCCAAACCAAAAAACAGAAATTTTAATTGGAGTATCTTGAATGGTTTGGAAATTTGAACCCTGGAAAAGCAAACTTGAAACACATTTCATAGTTCAGGCATTAGTATGCAGTTAACACGTCTAGCAACTACTCACTTGTCAAACCAATTCTTCTTTGCTGGAACTCCATCACCTGCACCAATAGTTCTTTTTCGGGACTCAGAATCCACCACTATCCTCATGCTGCTTTTATTAGGAGGTTTTTCTGTGTGGAAGAGAAGAGTACACTGATTAATTTTTAAAAGATGTTTGTCTGTGCATTTTATAGTAGGATTTTCTCTCCTTATTACCATCAGCTGACTTATTGCATTTTTGGAACATACTAAGTGCTATCCTTCTTCAAACCCAAGGTCCCTTTGGTTCAGCATTGGTCTCCAACAGATACCAAAACCAGATGCTTCAAAAGGAAGTGCAAGAAACCCCACAGGGCAACTATAGAATACATTGCCCAGAAAGCAAGATTTCTTTTCAACTCTTAGATATTTAGCAGATGGCTTATGACTTGAGCCCGAAAGGGATGCCTTTGATATTTTCCAATATTTTTGAAAAAGAAGCTAGACAAGAGATGGGGGGCTGTCATAGATGCACAGCACAAATATAACATGGGTAGTTCAGGAGAGCCTTGCAGCTTCGCAAACTTTGCCTCCCTTCCTCCCACACAAATTTACCCTTCCTTTTTCAGATCCAACCATGCCTTCCGTTGATACTCTATGAGTTTAGGCAAGTCTTGTTGGCACCCAAACTGGTAAAAGTAGAGTTCCCCTAAACATCTTTCTGAGCAAACTGCCCTGGCCTCAGGTGATTCAAGCTGCAAGCCAGGGAACCAAACCAGTCCACCAGAAAAATGAGAAGTTTTGGCATGCGCAGATTCAAGCCAATTTATAGTAAAGCAAGATGAAGGTATAACATCATCTGCACCAATCATATATGTAACATGGTCGCTTTATAATATCCTGAAGCAGCTATACCATTTCTAGTGCCCTAAGTACTGACCATTCCAAGTTTTCCAAAATGCACAATATGTTTTATGGCGATGATCAGAAGCCCAGGTCTCATCATGCATTAGCTGATATCTCTCTACCTCCCCACCAACCATTTAATTTTAATTTTTCTTTTTTGGTGCATTTTTTAAATCAGATAATGAACTTGTAAACTGGGACTTTTATCAATGCAAACACATCTATTATTTTGGATGGTTTATGTACATGTGCAGAACAGTATGGGATTAGCTTCTCCACAGTAGAATACCAGTCAAAAACAAACACACACACAAAATCTTGATTTGTTAGTTTCTCTACTTCTTAACATTTCATAACTACATAAATACTTCCTTAAATCAGATAAAAGATGTGACATAGCAAAAACGTATGTTCAAATGATATATTAAGCAGGCTTTTAAAATCTGTCTTTGGACAACATGGAGGCCCCAAGACGTCTTACAAATACAAAAGCATCAATAAAATTGGTAAAACCCATACATACAACAATAAAATATCACAATAGCATTAAACCAACATTCAGCTAAAAAAAATTACAAAAGCAACATGTTCGCTGTCTATGAACAGAGGCTTCCATAATGAGCATGTCACTGTCAAACAAGTCCTTTATTATCAATATGTTTTATTCTAATATCACAAGCTGGTTAGGCAGCAGAGCTTGGAAAACATCTTGCTCCTAGCAGATTTCAAAATGGCAGAAAACATCACACACACACACACACACACACACACACACACCAGGGCAATTATTCCTAGTACTGTATAATAAAACAATGTGAAGACGAGTCTTGAGAACATAGATCAATAAATCTTTCACGATACCTCTTGGTGGCAGGTCCATATCCCCTGATGTAAGTCCTATCAAATTTGGTCTTTGGGCATGCACTCTGTGTCTATACATGGGCCTTGAAGTGATAGTTATACTTGGTGCTTCAGGATTATAGCCATCTGTGTCGTATGTTTCTGTTAAAGAAAAAGTTGTCCAGTTACACTACAATACAGAAAGGGTTACATAGCTCCATATTCAAACAAGGCAGTCTATACAACACTCTCCATAGCTATGAAGCTAAAACTATCTGTAGCGGACAGATCAAAACCTTCCTTTCCTCTGGACAATCTTCGCCAGGATCCAAAGAGCTGCTTTGGCTCCTCTGCGGAGCCTGAACTACCTCAGTGGATTTAAAAAATAAGAATTCTGTTTTGAATTTGAACATCTGATCCCCATGACAAATTTCGTATTTTGTAGATTTTATCTTATTTTTATCCTGTTGTACACCACTTGGATGGCTTCAGGCTATGAAGCATTCATAAATTTGCAAATAAATAAATAAATACAAACTGCTTAAGCCCCATGAGTTTCAAAAGTAGTTTGCTGCAAGAAGTTGGCTGCTTGCAAAAAATACATTTCATGTTCCATGGGGCTCGGAACTAATTTTGCAATGCTTTTGATCCTGTTGTCGAGTGTAAAACGACATTCTACAGTTTTATTCTTTGGCAATAAGACTTTCTTTATTATGAGTAAATATTCTAGTACTGCACCTGTAAAAAGAGAGGGTGGAGCAGGCAGTGGCTGGTGATGAATACCGGTTGTTACAACCGTAGGAACAGAACTAGTTGCAGAATTTGGGGGAGCATCCATACCAGAGGGTTGCAAAGGTGGGAGAGGAGGTGGTGGTCCTGCCAAAACCAGAAACAATTTAATACCGAAAGTGAAAAGAAAAAAGCAACCACATACAGCACAAAATATAATATCCTGACCATTGACAGCACTATGGATCTTCAGAGGTAGACAGCAGCATAAAGGCAGACACAGGGATAGAAGAACTCACTGTTTAGCTTCTGGCTGTTTAATTAAGGCTATCCTCAGTATGTAAATAAAGGTCCTGGATGTTTTAACCAATGTTTAACAAGTGTACAGTCACCAGGGAAGCTACTTGCCGTACTATGTAGGTTCACCATAAAAATAGTAGCATGCTGTTCCCTATTAGTGTAAGGTGAGGAGTAAAAGGAAAGAGGAGTAGTGCTTGGTTGGTTACAGATTTCAGCTTGGTGCCTGAACCACAATTAGTTCAAACTTCGGCCACCAGAATTTTAAATGCAACAGGTAATAGAGACAATATAATCACTCATCCTTAGAGATACAGTTGGTCTGAATGCAAATTTAATAAATGTGCCAATTTTGACCTTTAAAGCTTACGAGATCTGCACCGTTATACCTAAAAGTACACTTCTTTCTATATATTCCCTCTCCCAGGCAGCAAGACCTTCTGTGCTTGTTTTGCTGAGGCCCTTATGCTTTAAGATGTATCAAGTTGCTGCAAAACCTAGGGACTTCTCAGTGACGGAAATCCAGTTATGGAACTCTATGCCCCAGGATATTTTCTTGTCTTCCTCCTCATTATTAAGAAAACAGGCATTTTCCCCAACTTGGTTTAGAGACATTGTATCTGACCAGTGTTTTAATGGGTTTCAACATAGTACAGTACGTTATTTCGAAATTTAAAAGGTGCATCCTACCTGTAACAGGTGGAAGGCTGGGCGGCAAAGGGCCTGGAGGTGGAACAGGAGGTCTAAGGTTTACAGGAGGAGGAGTAAGAATAGGAGGCGGTGGAGGAAGTCCTGGAGGGGGTGGTCCTTCAACAACCGGGGCTGTGCTGGAAAAGGCAGTATGCCTGGAAGGTTCACATCTTCTACAACTACAGGGTCACTTCCATGATCAAATGGACACATATCTCCTCTCATACAGAAACCCTTTTCTGAAAAGTTAAAACAGTATGTTATCAGGAAAAGTCTGCAGTGTTCTGAGCAGTGCAAATTAATAGCTTTCCATTCAGTTTCGGAATTGAGTTCATAAACTTCCAATTGCAAAAAAAGCTCCACCCATTTTTACTTTTTATGTTTCACTTGTAAAACAATAAAATGAAATACGAAATACTGAGGATAAGAAATAGTTTAGAAGAAAATATTTAAAATGTCTGGAAGATATAATGGTTATGGTCATCAATGCTCGGCAAGGCAATGGGATAACTCGTTTTTGGTTCTTACCATCATAGTCTCTGCAACGTTTCTTTGGCAGTGGAGGTCTCCCATAGGAATTGTGGTCTAATTGTTCTTCATGAAAATCTGACCAACTTTCAGTAGTATTATTTCCATGGTGAGCAGGAGCGATAACCGTTATAGTGCTACTTAGTGTAGGGGCAGGGTAATGGCTGGATGAAATGTTTGTTACAGAAGAAACAGGAGTATAGTTGTTTTCTAATGGCTCTGTTCTGTCCAGGTCATATTTTGGTTTCCCTATATCCCTTTCTGCAAAGAAGAACAAGGCATCCACATTATGTCAGTAAGACAAGTATTACGCAAACTGATGAACATTTTTAAAACTAAAAAAAACCTCCCAATCCCAGCTGGTTTATCGATCTGAAAGCATGCAGGACAGCCAATGGCAACCTCAAATCACTTTTACAAAATACAATTGGCTAAGCATCTTAAATCCTGAAACACATAAATAAAGCCCTTTACTGTGGGACAAATGAAGTATCAAACCCAATAACTTGCTGTGATGTCATTTCATCAGATTTCACCCAGAGAGAGATCTGGAGGAGGCCCCATGTGTGTGCTCTTCTTCCCCAATAATCTCACCATGGGAAGAAACAGGCAAGTGAACCAGAAGAAAGACCATTCAAATATATACAGTTTTTCTCAGTTCAATCACTCCTTTGCACCTCTAGTGTACAGAGTGTGAAAAAAACATGCGAATGAAAGCAACAAGCATGTGTCTGCTCATCCAATGCATGAGAACGAACACCATCGAACACCATGGTTTTACTTCTAAGTATATATCCACAGGATGGCACTGTCCTTAAAACGTATGTGTCTTAGAACACACTTGTGTGGCATATTTGTATATTATTGTCCTGGTACTTTCAAAAGAAATCTTCATAGCTTTTCTAGAGCAGAAACATAATCATATATATTTATTCCTACTTTATATCCTGCCTCTCCTTTGAGGATCCCAAGGTATCCTCAGCAGTATCCTCAGACTTTTGCAATGTCCGGCATTGGACAGAACATTAATGATCATCTGAATGTATCAAATGATATCTAACCGCATATATTGAAAAGTCTCCGGTAAGCAAGTCTTATCCATCCAAACCTGAAAATGTTCATCTTCTACAGAGTACCAATTTGTAGTTTGGAGACAGTCCAACACTCATTCATTCATTTATTTAAGTTTATATATTGCAAAAAACAAACAAACAAAAAACTTTAAAGCAGTTTACAAAAAGAATTGCAATGCTGCAAGTCAGCATGTGCAGAGCATCACTCACCTCTGCTCCTTGTTCTACTTCTACTTCGACTTCTGCTCCTGTCGCGGTCTCGATCCCGCAACCTCTCCTTGCTCCAGCTTCTACTGCGACTCCTGCTGTAGCTCCGGCTCCGCCCCCTTCTTCTGTTGTAGCGGTCTCTATAGGACTCTCTTCGCGGGGGATTCCGGTCGTAGTCTCTCTTGCGAGAACGCTCCTCTTTCTTTCTTTCATCCCTGCTTCTAAATATTTTGGATTGTTACACAGAAATAAATTCTAGGCTCTAAACAGAAAATTCATACCAAATATAAGAGTGTAACCATTTGTATCAGAATCAGTGAAAATATTTTTTTAAATGAACACAAACACTATTTTAAGTGCCAATTCTGGGCAAAAACAAACTTTGAACCAGCACCAGTTATCACCTACCACATGCCATTTTAAAAGCTATATAGTTTGGGGCAGTGCTATTTTTCTAGAAAGAGAGGTGCTGGAACTCCTTCCTTGTTCGTTTATAATGGCAATGGTACCCACCAAAGAGGTGGTGGAACTAAGTCCTGGTGAGTTCCAGATGAAAAAAAGCCCTGGTTTGGGGGCTTGTTCAGGTATCGATACATCGCCAGGACTGGTCTGAGGGCCAGAGCACAATGGCATCTTTCTGAGCGGTATATCATGAGTGAAACCACCACCGCTCTGGAGTCCCTCTGCTGCCAGCACTCAGAACGCTGAGGGGGAAACGAGCTGCATCAGCCCCAGCCCCATGAGGCGCCAGGGGTCGATGTAGCTTGTCCCCCCCCCTCCATTTTTCATCATCGCGATGCATTACTATATTGTAATGTTTGGTTGGTAATACATTGTGATGTTGAAAGGCGGTATCGCCCAGCCTTAACTTACACTCCTATCCCCCCCCCCATGAACTCCCCATAGATGCAAGAACATGCTATGCCATTTGAGTTTCTGAGCTCAAGGACATGAAGCTCTGTTACTGTATATTAGAAGCAAACTGGCATACCAATAGCACAGCGCCAGTGTTAAGAAACTGAGATAGAAAAGCTAGGAGCTCCATGACACCTTAAACCTAGATTATGGGTGCATCAACGGAATGTCTCAGCACGCTGTTTTATAACAAGAATACAAAGCTGAAAATGAATGAACTGCAGCTAAAATATTATGCTCATTTTTCACAGGTCTCTTCTCCAGACTTCAGAGAGTAGCTGGAACTGGGGAGGCAGAAAAAAGTCCTCCTTTCCTTCCATTCTGAAGTTTTAATCTGAAATCTCAGGTGCAGTACCGTGCCCAGAGCTGAGAAGCTGCTCACACTAATGACATTCCATGTCGCAAAATGCGCCTAGAACAACACAAGTTTTGAGCTGCACAGCAGACACCCTCCTTCTCTCATTGGAAACACAGGAGCAGAGAAAAAAGTCTGCCCCAATGTAGATTCTCACAAGAGAAAACAAAGCAAATGAAAGGGGAGAGAATACTTCAAATTACCCAGCAATGTAATGTAAAGTGGCTTATATTTCCACTGTTTGATATGCAGCCTAGACCTTCATGAGCTCAGACATTCTGAGCGGTAGCCAAGGCAGGATTTGCTTCCATGAAAAATGGATGCATACCAAAGGCAAATCCTAATTCAAATGCAATAATCTGTGCATAGTTGGGTGCTTTCCTGCAGATGCAAGTGTTGTGCATTTTCCCCAATTTATCATACAAAATGTATATTGACTCAAGACAATCACCATCCATTTAAGTGGGTGTAAAAAACACTGATGATGCAGAGTTGTTGTAGGAAAATTCAGAGGTTGACAATTTTCTAATACAAAATTAACTAAGGTGCTCTTTAACTTCAAAACTGCCAGGTGGAAGGAGATAGCTATGTTTGAAAGCACACTCCCTTATGTATCTATAAAAACTTCATTAAAAACTACAAAATTTGGATTGTGCTCTGTATGTATTACACATGGAGACTTGCTCATTTATACCTTTGTATCCTTACCATATAATTTGTTTCAAACGGCTGTAACAGCAAACAATGTAACTAAATCCACCTCAAAACATTTATACATGAAAAAGGAAGGCAAAGCCAGTAAAAAACAATAACATGAAAACTTTATTAATAACCTCTCCTGGTTTTTACTACAAGGGACAGAATACATGATCACCTGGTTTCTCGATAGCGTGAACTTGACTGAGGGGGACTATGGTTTAGCCTTCTAGAAAACTTTTTCTCTCGCTCTTCCTCTTTAATGACCTTGATAAAGAAGGAAAATGAAAATCAGACAAGAGTACAGCACCCAGAGAAGCATCCAGCAACCAAACAAAATAGAACCATTTCAAAATCCTTCTCAAGAATTCTATGCCCTCAGCCCTCAACATCTTTGTAATAAAGAAGATGCTTTGACATGAGAATTTGAAGTTTAGAAGAGGCATCAGGCAAAAAATTCCACTTCTCCCATGCCTTGTGTTAATTAAACAATCAATGGCCTTTTAAACTGGGAGATATTGCTTTTGTTTGTTACTATGATATACCCTTTTGTGCTTTTATATTGCAAATCGCTCTGTGAACTTTGGATGAAGGGCGGTGTAGAAATTTATAAACATAATGAGTAACACAATAAATAAGGGTTTTTAGACATATATGTGATAATCCACTCTCGCTCCGGGTTCGCCAAACAAATATTGCACCTGTAAATACTAGTCCCACACCCTTGATCCAATAGTAACACCCATAGCTTCATTCTCTAAGGTTCACTATCTCTATCATGTAGTTAAGAGTCACCAAGTGAAGTTTATCCTCAACGATCACCTATCAAAAGTATTGAGCTTTAAGAAATTGGCATTTAAATGCATTGTAATTGAAAACAGATTAAACATACAGACGCAAATTGCAAGATATGCATTAAGAAGAGGATGCATGACTGATCCCTACCTCTTCCTTCTTAGTTTCTTTTTCCTGATGCTGAAAAAAGTCTGATTTCAGGCTTCCCGATGTCGGCTGCTCCGGTGGAGGTAGATAGCTCTTTGTATTCACAGCATCAAAAAGTTTTTCTACGAATATCTGGGTCTCTAAAACAAGATCCAAACAATTTCTATGGCTAGTATTACTCAGAATTCAATTAGCCATTTTGAATCGGTTGAGCAAATGGTCACCCTCCTGTTTGCTTGGGGTACATGACAACTGTAGGCAGTAGAGAAGACCAACAGTAACCCTTTCACCAACCCTTTCCCATCAATGGCACAGTGCTATCCCCAAAACCCATCCCTGGATCTTTCAATCTTGAGAAAATCTTGAGCATCAGGCATTCATCTGCCTCCTCAAGTGTTGGCACACTCTTTATAGACAGCACATGGGAAAAGAGCAGTTCTGGCAAGCAGAGCACAGAGGAGAGAGAAGAGAAGTATATCTACTGTGCACTTTGGAAAGTTTTGTTCGTCTGTTCTCTATAGGTTGCCTCTTGATATACCGTCACCAAACTTGGTAGAAGAATGCCCAAGGTGGGGGTGGTAGTCTTTGTCAATGTTTGGATGCCAGGAGCCATTTTGAATCAAGATGGTAGACTAAAACACAACTTTGGGTTGACTACATCCAGTTTTTGGTGTGACAGATACAAACTCACAAACTGCACTATTCATTTAAAAATGACAAAATGTTTGGGTTTATAAAAATGACTGGGGAGTGCTCTGTAATTGAAAGCATTTGATTTATTATATTTACAGTCATACCTCAGAAGTCAAACACCTTACGAGTAGACCGTTTTGGCTACCCGAATGCCGCAAACCCAGAAGTCAGTGTTCCAGTTTGCAAATGTTCTTTGGAACCCGAACGCCCAACGCAGGTTCCGCAGGAGCTTCCTGCAGCCTATCAGAAGCCACGGCTTGATTTCCAAACATTTTGGAAGTCAAACAGACTTCCGGAACGGATTCCATTCGACTTCCAAGGTATGACTGTATTTTGTATATATCTAAGGCATCTACTATTTAATTCTTAGTGTTTCTAATACTTAATTCTAGATGATGATCCAATAACCACTGAAAAGGATTCAGAGCTTCCAAGAGTGAAACATATGATGTATTTATTTTCTACAACAGGATTTGAGTATCTGTAATGTCTCTTAGATGTTATACACTACTTTATTTCTTTGAATCAACAAATCTGTTGGGGCTGCATACTTTTTTGTTCTATTTAATGCAGAGCCATTCAGCCCAGGATGCAATAATAATCATATACAATTAATTCAAGATGGAGTCAGAATTCAAAACAAGTCAGTGATATATTTACAAGAGCTTACCCTTTTGAAGAAACACATCCAACTGATCAACACATAGTGCCCTCAGTTCTTTCTCACTTTTATCCTTCTTTACCAAAGCAAGAACATACTTAGCTAGAGCTGATGGGTCTGCATCACATCTGTAAAAGGAGCAAAACAAGACTGCTGTCAGTAATGAAGATATCCTAAAAAGTTAACTCGAGCTGGTGCAGTATGCCCAGGGTGTTCCGTATCTTTACAATTTCATTTTGCATTGATGTGTGTTATATAAAATGAATCAAGTGTCAACTTCTACTGAAAAAGCCAGTCTATGAATCAATTTGTTTTACTTTACTGCATTTTGGACCACTGTTGTGCTCATGGCTGTTCCCATCCTTAACAAGGGTTACCCGGCCTTCAGTGACGGGGTCAAAATGTGTAAGGTTGACCCAAAATGCTGGGCATTGTGTACCCTTCAGCCAGGCTTTCTGCAAAGTATTAAATCCCCTTTGCCCCAACCATTAAAATACAGGCATGACCATTTTAGGAGCGTTCAACTGATGTGTAATTGCCAACACTTGGGAGCTTTTGGATGTGAAATGGGGGTGGGGCAGAACAGGACTGGCTAATATATGCTCCACCGACATGTACAGGGGGGCAAGAACAGAAACCCCACGCAACATGGTCACCGCCTGTAACATTTTGCTACTTAGTAAAGGAATTGTGGCCTCTGCTGTTCTTACTTATTTAAAAAAAAGGTGTGCGAAGTTTCACTGGAATAGTTTTACCATTGTAATGTTCATTTTATCAATGATAATTACTGGGCTTCTAGCCATTAGTTACTGTTCTGCAGAGTATATGTAATTAGCTGATGAGGTATGATACAGAGAAAAAGAGAACCGGCTAATACTAAACATAAAAGCATTTCATGGATAACCAAAAGTTGGCTCAAGGACAATCACACTGTCACTTATTTCTTAACCATCTATTGACAAGTGGGGTTAAATGCACCCCAACAGCACTGAAAAAGCATTCATAAAACTTTTGGGTTCTTCCACAATTCAATGTTGCAAATAGTCCTCAATGATGAAAGGTTGTGGAATACTGTTATATATTGATACCTGTATGTATTTAGCTTGTTATAATACAGTTCTATTTAAAAAAGCACTATGGTGAAGTATAAATTGCCATAGGTTGTTTCTGTGAGGATTAAATTATGAAAAAATCAAGGTTTTAACTTTTACAACTTTTGATGTCAATTCTGCCTCTACTGTAGTAACTGAGAAACCATAAAAGCTGCACAAAAGTCCAAGAAGTCAACATGATCCCAAGACATTCACTTCCTTTAACACCACCACAAATGGTATCAGGGCAGGGTCAATAACATTCCACACATTTACCACCAAATTGCTTTAGAGTTCCAGATAAAGGGAGATCTAGGCTTTTCAATATGCTCATACACGTCATCTTCAAATTTACTTATCCAACTAGAGTATCCTTAAGATGTAGGTGTGATACACGACTGGCGTGGGTTCAGCTGAAACTTTACTAACTTGTTTCATCATTGTGCATCTATCTAAAGGAGACTAATTTCAGTCTCTCTGTGGAGGAGTGTGATATTCCATCTAAACAAGTAATGTTCTCTGACTGTCATGATCAAAGTAGCCTTAAAGAGATGGTTCAAGGAAACTGGGAACACCTGAAAGCATCAACGGTCTTTGCAAGACTGGATGTTCTTTTAAATTAAAAATTAACGTTACACTATTTTAAATATTCCTTATCCATCATGTTCTTCAAGATAAAACAGTCGGTCACTTGCACAGAGATTAGAAAAAACACCGAACATAATATTAAACATAAGCACTTCCCATTCTTAAAAACAAGATACAAGGTGTATCTAGCCACCCAGAGCGGTGGGACAACCCAATCAGATGGGCGGCAAATATAATTTGTTGTTGTTGTTGTTGTTGTTGTTATACTGAGAATAGAACCACTGAAATTAATAAGTACATTAAATTTCAATGGGTCTACCAATAGAACTTAGCTGGCTACAACCCACCATTTTGAGGCACTTAAAAATAATAACAATACAGTGATTGAGTACCAAGTAACTGAAGTTTGTGAAATATGGTATAGGATACCTTAAAGCAGCGGTTTTCAACCAGTGTGCCATGGCACCCTGGGGTGCCTTGAAAGAAGGTCAGATGTGCCACAGGCAATACTGGCCTCAGTCCCTCTTTCCTCCCCTCCCTCCTCTGATGTCGTCTCATGTGTCTGCCTCCAAGGGCTTTCACAGCTGTTTGTTGCAGCAGCCCTGGCTACAAGCTCCCCAGGCGAATGGTGTTTCTCAGGGACTGGTCAGAGGGTGCTGGTTGCCCGGAACTGAGGAAGCCTTGGAGCAAGCAAGCAGGCGAGGGAGCTCAGCCAGCCAGTCCGCCAGGTCCTTGCTGTTGGGAATGGACAGACAAGTGGGAGGCCTGGCAGACAGGCACGGTTCTGCCTTTCTTGTGCTTGCTGTGTGCAAGGCCTGCCTAGGAGCCTGAGTGTCTGGTTCTGAAAGGGTGCCTTTCCACCACACAGACCCAGCAGCACCCGCTGCTGCTATTGCTGCCTCCCAAAGTGAGTAAGGTGCTGGCCTCATGTTCACCTCTGGCCAGGCTCCGTTGGGCCACCAAGGCTGGGGGCATCCTCTTCCCAGGCCCCTGTGAGGCAGTGTGAGGAGGCACCTCTCTTTGGGGCGGGGGGGGGGGGAGCTCAGAGACCAGGGTTGGCAGTAGTGACTGCCTGGAGGACTTCCAAGGACAGGTAAAAGGAGGTTGAGGAAACACTCCACAAGGGAGGGTGTTCAAAAAAGGGTAAGAGGCTGCCAGTTCTGCAAGAAAGGGGTGACATAACTGGGCTCCTGAGCCCCACAGGGGTGCAGCAGAAAAATGGAGTTGGTCAAGAGAGCTGTGGACCCAAAAAGGTTGAAAACCTCTGTCTTAAAATTTCAAAGTTATCAGTGAAAGGTCCCCTACCAGTATTACATTAAAATTTCTAAGCATTTCAGGAATTCATACATCTATTATATATTCTGCACAGTATATGGCCACTGAATTAATGTTTCATAGAATCAGAGAACTGCAGAGCTGGAAGGGACCCCAAGGGTCATTTAGTCCAACCCCAGCAATGCTGGACTCTCACCTAAATCATACCTGACAGATGGCCAACCAACCTCTGCATAAAAACCTCCAAGGATGCAGACTCTACCACCTCTCATGGGAGTCTGTTCTACTGTTTTATCTTCTGGAAACCACCTCCTCCTCTGTTGAATTTACATTGTTCTCTTCTGTTTGGAACAGTTTACATACATTATCATTGCAATTGCTTTATCTGTTTTCATAATTTTGCATTTTATTGTTGTAACCCATCCTGGGACCTTACCATGAAGGGTGCATAGGAAATCTTAAAGATAAATTTAAAAATGTGAGCATCTCAGAAATTCAACAGTCTGACTCAAGCATGAAAATCATGTTGAGTAAAGAGGAAGGTGAGCCAACAATGGTGCTGGAATGATAACAAAAGACCTTGTAGGGGCTGCTTGCCATGATGATGTCCCTTGTTGTGTACCCTTTAAAACCTTTACCATATGAAGCTCCCCGTGTCATGATTCCCCTGGATGCATCAAGTTCAGAAGCTTACATCTGCTTCAAAAGTTTCAAAACCAAGCTAGACTGCAACACACACTTGTTAAAAATCACTGTATTTTGCAGTTACTCAGCAAACCTTTCGAGGCTGGAGAGTTTACACAATTACATGGTACAAGATTAAAAACCTTTAAAAAAGAAGTCATTTAAAAAATGGAAGTTTAGCTCTCTTGTCAATTACAGACATTCTTCCAGTTTTTATATAGCTCACAAACTCATTCAAACTATTTACATACAACATTTACCATTTTTAATTGACTTGTTGACAAGAATCTTGTTGCCAATATGGCATAGCATCATAATTTGTTTAGCCATCTGAGCAAATATTTCCAGAAATCAAGTTTCAGAAGCCCAATGAAAGTTATAAATGTATACCCCACTTCTGAGCTACAAACTCTGCCCACTCAGCAACATTCAGTTGTACACACTTTATCTTTGTATTCTTTTGGATAACATTTTATAAAAGTGGTGCAAACAGCAAAGAACAAATCCAACTACTAGTAGCTTACCTGCAACATCATATTTTCCAAACATAACAGTTTTTAGTGCAGTTCCCTGGGAGCAAAATGAATGGGTCATCCATGCAACTTGCTCATATATTAAACTATGTATAAAGAATCCAAATGACATGAAAAATGTGAGAAAATCAAAGAAACCAGGAGGCCAAAAACTTTTAGAATATAGGAAGAAAACAAATCCTATCAGGAAGTTAAAAAAGGAGGACTTTAAGTCCCCAAACAGGCAAGTGCAGAAATTCATTACAAAATAAAGTATGTCCATCACGCTGTATTTACTCGAATCTAATGCTCACATTTTTTTGCCAAATGACGTTGCGAAAATTAAGGTGTGCATAAGATTCTATGGCACATTTACATTCGCCAGCAAATACTTTTTCGGTTTCAAGGTTCTGAAAATTGAGGTGTGCATTAGATTCAATGGCATATTAGATTCAAGTAAATAAGTGATCTCCTTCTTCAATTTCTATTCCACATTGTGACGATTCAGTCAAGCCATTTTATCATTTATTCAGGCAACGTAAATGGAATAGAAATTTCTTTGCCTCAGAAATGTATACAATGCATTTCAGTTTACTGTTCCAATAAATGTCTGCATCACTTTGAGGCTTTGCCTCCTTTTGGGGACTTGCAGGCCTCTCAATGCTGCCCCTTCCTCTTCCTGCCCAAAGATTTCTCCTACACACAGCTTATTTACAGTAATATAAAAGATGGGAAACCAAAGTAATAATAAAACCATGAACTACATTTAAACCATCTCCTTGATTGTATTCCCGTCATAATGAATTACAGCAACAAAATCCCAGGGCATTTAACAAGCAGAAGGAACACTTTCCATTTTAATGAGCCTATGCTTCTACAATGTCTCTGTACAATACAAATGTTTAACCATGATTTCCCAAAATAACCTGAGTTAGAAAATAGTAAGCTTGTGCAAAAAGTATCATTCCAAGAGAACTAAAGGGCAATAGGTTGAATATCCTGAAAAAGCCAAATCAAACAAGTAGTTCAAATGAGAAATAAATATGATTGAAAACTCCAGGGAGCACAGCAGTGAATCAACACGACAACAACAATGACTGAAAGTGTTTGCCCAGTCTACACGGACAGCACCTCCAGGGATGTTTTTAAACTAGGAGACAAGTATATTAACAAGGAAAACAGGGAGAAAGACTGTTCAGAATAATAATCAAAACCTATTTTCACAATAACCATTCCATATTTACTTATTGTGTTCACAAGACTGCTGTCTTATGAGGACACTCATCTTTTATCAGATAGATTCTCCATTAAGAAAATCTACCATATTTGAAGTGGCATCGGTAGCCAAATGAAAGAAAAGTTTATGCATGTTTCTTGTTGAGATTGATTGCAAAGAAGTCTCCATGTTTGGTATCAAAAAGTGATATTAATAAAAAAAAGGATTCCAAGTCAATGTTTTCCTTAGCCACATATTTATTTGCAAAGAATAGCTTGGTCCAGACATGCAGAACTATAAGATGGAAATGGGAATGGCAGAACACACCATATCACTTCAGATGATGGAATGAATCACATTTTTTAAAGCTCTCTGGTGTGAAAAAAAAGTGTGCTCATCCAGTACAACAAGAACAAGGCTGAACTAGAATCTTTCTCCATGGTGTGCTACTATTACTTGCAAATGTAGCTATGTAATTTGCTACTCACTTAGGGCTGGTAATAATCGTTTCCGAAGATCACCTGAAAGTTCAAGGTGAACCTGCCCAAGCAACTATTGCTGCACTATGCTACTCTGCCCCAAACAGGTAAATAGTGAAATGCTACAATGGTTGTATTTATTCCCTCAACTCTACCTAGATAAGACCTTTTGCTTGTTAAGAAGGCTAGACAACAGAGCACTAGGGCTGCATCAGCAGCAGTGCTGCATTTCCCAGCTCCACAATTAACAGAAAAGTACTATGCAATATAGGAAACGACCATACACTTAGTCAAAGCAGCTCAGTATTATCTAGACCCGTGATTCCCTAACACTTTCCCCTCTATGAACCGCTTGAAAATTAGACTCTTGAAGGGCCACTTAATGATTTCCCACCCCACCCCCGCGTGCCTATTGTAGCTATTGTAATGCACTAGGCGAAATGATGTGTGACTTCTATTTGCATTTTAACTGCTTCTTTTATTTCTTATCCAACACTGATTACAAGTTGAAGTCCACAGAATTCACAGGCACACTGTGGAACACCAGGATGATGTTTGTGGACCACAGTTTGTGAACCCCTGGTCTAGACTGACAATGGCTCTCCAGGGTTTCTAGCAGAATTTCTCTTAGCCCTACCTGGAGTTGCCAGGGATTGAACCTCCATGCTAAGAAAATGTTCTGCTTCTGAGCTGCAGCCCTTCCCATTTTATGAAGTGGCTACATGTGTCCCTATCTCTTCTGTTCTTAAGGCAGAGAGCAACCACAATGCGGTGCCGCTTTTACCAACAAGATGTAGCAGATGACCAACCACTCCTGAAACCTAACTGCAAAACTGCACAAAAATATACATATCTGACAAAGGATTTCAACATTTCCCCTTGTTTGCACATATACACATGAATGTTTCCACACACAGCACACTTCACTGGGAACAAGAGTTAAAGAATCATCTTGCATTTTCAGTACAGTGGTACCTTGGGTCACATACACTTCAGGTTACATACGCTTCAGGTTACAAACTCCGCTAACCTAGAAATAGTACCTTGGGTTAAGAACTTTGCTTCAGGATGAGAACAGAAATCGCATGGCGGTGGCGCGGCAGCAGCAGGAGGCCCCATTAGCTAAAGTGCTGCTTCAGGTTAAGAACAGTTTCAGGTTAAGAACGGACCTCCGGAACGAATTAAGTACGTAACCAGAGGTACCACTGTATTTATTTGGCACCCAAAATCACACCTTTAGAATCTAAATGGTCATCTGCTCCTTCCAGGACTTTTGTGTTAAAAAAGCTCCTATTGCATTTCCATCTAGGGTTCACTATCCTCAGCCAAACAAATCAGCTCTTGCAAAGAATGTAACGATTTCTGTACAAGGTCCCTACTTCTGCATTTGAAACAAGAATCCCTGGCGTGACCAAAAACTGGACAAACTGAGAATCAATGAGAACTCTTCATACCATTTCTTATCACGCTGGTTATGGAGGCTTAATCTGCACACAGCATAAGATTGTTAATCTCAGGGTTGTGGGTTTGAGCCCCATATTGGTCAAGAGAGTCCTGCATTGCAGAGGATTAGGATAAATGACCCTTGGGGTACCTTCCAACTCTACAATTCTGTAATCCCAAAATGTAGTTACACATCCAGAAATCAACTTACAGTGTTCAACTTCTGAGACAATGCAAAGGAGTAGCACAGTCATTAAATTTTCTTATCATGTTTTGTCCATTCTGCTTTTATGCAGTAAGTTATATTAAAATGATGTTTTGTTTTGTTAAAAGAATTACTGATTCTTTATCCCAGGAGTATTTCCACTGTACCAACACCCTGCTCTGCCACAAATCACAATTCCTGCATGTTTTTCTACATATCAGCTGCACAGTGCAAACCCTTTGAATTGGTGGTAGCCCAGAAACAGCTGGCAAGAATAAACATCTATTAAAAACACACTGCACTCTCAAACTTTGGTGTCAACAATTCAATTCAAAGCACCAAAGAGTGAACCAACAATTCAATTTAATACATTGTTAGGCAAGAGTCTCAAACAGGCAAGAACGACAGTTGACATTTCGAAAATTTCTTGCAACTGAACTTTTACTTTTACCCTTTAGTTCCTTGCTCGCAAGGAACTGTGAAGCATACGACTTTATGACAGAAGTGCATAAAGCATTTGTAAATTAAGTGTGCTTTCTCATAAGGAAACTGTACATCATCCAATATGATGGTGGTATAATTCTATACAGCATCAGTTATTTACACACTATAAAGTCTGAAACATACATATGTAAGAGTCAGGTGTACCAGATCAAGGTATACATACATACATACATACATACATACATAACCCATAGGTGCAGATCAGTTAAGCACAGCAAACTTTCACAACAACTACAGCAAGGGAAGGTCAAGTCACCCATCCTCTTGCGCAGCAGTGCCCTTCCACAAACTTTGAGGCAGCAATACCTATGTGGGCTAATTTCCAACTTTTGTTTTGAGTTGTACCACTACAGGCTGCAGGTATAGGGGCTGTCGTGAGTTGAAAGCACCTCCATACACAATGTTCCCCCCTCCTCCACCCCACCAAAGACAAAAAACAAACACACCTTCACAGATGAACTAGATCAGTGGTTCCGAATTAGCTAATTACTGAAGACCCCCTATTTTTCAAAATCCAAGCAATGGGAAAATTTGATAACTCTACGGTAGCAAGGCAATTTATTGAACAAAATGTGGAGCAGCCCCTAATAAGCAAACGATTTTAGGTACGCTAAAAAAACAGACGATAAAATTTGTGATATTACCATGCACAAATTTATTTAAGGGAGAAGCAAGGGGTGGAGTTGCAGACCCCCGGGATAGGTTCTGTGGACCCCAAGGGGTCCCTGGACCCCTAATTGGGAACAGTGATTCAATAATCATAAGGTGATGATGGTTTTCTTGCTAACCACAGACAGCCTTTAAGGCTGTCACTTTCTGTTTGGGTAGTGCACTGCAATAGTGTGCTACTTTTAAACTGCCTACACCCAGCGTTCGAAACTCCCATTATTCGAGGCGTGTTCTGTGACAGGGAAATCATTAGCATGAGCTGTTTCTGAGCTCTGGGCGCAGTACAGCACCTGAGATTTCTGCTTAAAACTGCAGAGTGGAAGGAAAGGAGGACCTTTTTCTGCCTCCCCACTTCCAGCTGCTCTCCGAAGACTGGAGAAGAGGCCCTCCACTAACCCAGAAACAGTACCTCGGGTTAAGTACTTAATTCGTTCCGGAGGTCCGTTCTTAACCTGAAACTGTTCTTAACCTGAAGCACCACTTAACCTAATGGGGCCTCCTGCTGCCGCCACGTGATTTCTGTTCTCATTCTGAAGCAAAGTTCTTAACCCAAGGTACTGTTTCTGGGTTAGTGGAGTCTGTAACCTGAAGCGTATGTAACCCAAGGTACCACTGTATTAGGGAGGACCAAATCAACGTAACATTTTAGCTGCTGTTCATTCATTTACAGCTTTGTATTCTTGCTAAGACAATAAAAAAGCACACCATGGAGCCCATAACCTAGGTTTAAGGTCCCACAGGGCTCCTAGCTTTCCCATCTCGGTTTCTAACACTGGCATTCCAGTTTGCTTCTGAGGTACAGTAACAGAGCTTCACGTCTCGAAGCTGTTCAGACACTCCAATGGCATAGGGTGTTCATGGTTGGGGGGGGACAGGGGTGTGTTAGGGCTAGGCGACCCCGCTTTTCAACACCCCCAGCCAAACCTTGCAACGTAGTCACGCGTCGCGATTGGGAACTGGATGCAAGGAAGGATGAAGAAGTCAGGTTTCTGCACACCAGACACCCCCACCCACCCACCCCCCACCCCAGTGACACTATGGGTCCATTTTTGCAACCCCCGCTTGCAGAGCCTCCACGCGGGCGGGTGCGCATTTATGCACCTCCGCACACGCATATGCAGGATGAAGGCGCCCTGAATACACGTGTGCGCGCGCGTTCAGACGTTCCCCACCCTCCCTCCTACTCACATGGGCGCCAAGGTCTTGCTGAGCCACGATTTCAGCGCCTCGAAGTTTTCTATGATCATTCTCGCCACCATCCAGAGCCGGCCCGAGCCCCGCCTCCTCAGGCAGCGGTGACGAGGGCTTGGCGGCGAGGGCCCCGGGCCTGAGGGGACGCCGAGAGAGAGGCCCGAGCCAAGGAAAGGGGCAACGGCAGGCGGCCGGGCAGCCTCCCCGGCCCTGACCCCGGAATGCTTATGCGGACTCGGCCCCAGCTAAAGCCTCTCTCCTTTCTTTCTTATTTCCACCCCCCCTTTTCCCGCCCCTTCCCTTCCTTTCCTCGTCTTCTTTTCGCGCAAGGAACAACTAAGATGGCGGCGGGGAAGCGTCGCGAGGCTTGCGGAAACCTCGCGAGGGGGCGCAACGGGCGGGGAAAGCGGGAGGCGGAAGAGCGAGCTAGCGCGCAGGCGCACGGCGGGGCGGGGGGGGGCGGGGCGTCACTAGCCGGAGGAGGCTGCGCGCGCATCCCCGGCTGGTTTGAAGGGCCGGGATCTCCTTCAAAAGCGGGGCGGGGAGGGGGGCGTGGCCCGTCGGAGGGTATGGAGTTACAATATATGCAATCCCGAGCCGAGGAGATAAATAATTATACAACCTTCAGAAGGCATCTGAAGGCAGCCCTGTAGAGAGAAATTTTTTAGTGTTTTTTTTATTATGCTTTTTATATGTTGAAAGCTGCCCAGAGTGTCTGCAGCAACTTACACAGCTGCAAATAAAACGTTTTAAATGTGTTTTAAAGTGCAATACACAAATGTGATGCCAGATGGCGACAGTGAACTCTGCAAAATTCAATGCATTTTTCAAAACATTTTTTTTAAAAAAGCATTTTCACAGCATTTGTTTATATGTGTGTAGATTCCACCCCAGTCTTGGGAGGGCGGGGAATAAATAATAAAATTATTATTATTGTTATTATTATTATTATTGAATAAGATGTACCTATTTTCATTGGAGAAATGTTGGAGGGTTTGGAATTTCCGCCCTCTATATAAATGTTCTTGTGTGCCTGGAATGAGCCCATTCTGCCACAATGTGCTTGCCTTTCCGCGTTCTGCAAGACTCTCCTGCGTCTGGCGTATGACGTAAGCTGCGCCTTTGGAACATGTCCTGATGCCTTATGCTTCTTTTCTCCTCTTGCTCACCCCAGTTACTTAGCAGGAAGTCCTGCCAAACCCTGCAGGAATCACTTTCAGGAAAAGTTTGCAAAGCTCTTATTATACCACAAACTCAGCACTCAGTCGCTAAAGTGGATTGGAAACTCTATTCATAAATATTCACTGGGGAAACAGCTATTTTGCCCATTTTTGCCTACCCTAACACCGAATATAGCAGGCTGTGGGGAGTGTATTGAAGTGTGTCTCGCTGCCATTAAGTGGGTTTGAATATACTAATATGGAATAACAAACTGTATTAGTGGTGTAATTACAAAATGAAGAATTAACTTCATGATTTAGCTGGACTCAGGGCTGGAGGAACAGCAGCACTTGTAACTCTCCATGCTTTATGATAGAACATTTTCATGCTGGATGCAGTGTTGTACAACCGGAGCTACATTTCTGTCCATGTTTTATGAGATATATGTGGCCTATCACATGTAAAGCATCCTGAGAATGCTAGTCTTGTCTGATGATTCAATAAATCTTGGGTATGAAGGCCCATGAATGTATGGCATATGCAATTTGTGGCTGCTAATTTGAAAGGAAAGGAAGGGACCATTTGGAGGATAGAAGTTTTTGGGCTTCTTTACCATTCCCCATTTGGCTATTCCAAGTGCCTCCAAGCAGCTAACTGCTTCCGTGTTCATGAGAGTATCAATTATGGTCATCAATACTGTATAATAAATATTATAAATAGTTTTGTCCTCCTCCTGAACACAGCAGAAATAGAAACGAATTCCGTCATGTGACTACAGCAGTCAAATGTGAAGCCATTAAAATCCTGTAGTGTGACAACGCCCTCTGAGGATTTAAGCCATAAAATGCCACATACCGCGAATGGACCTGAACTGAGGATCTCAAGCTGAAATTCTCCATGTTCCTGGAATGCATCAATATCCTTAGCAACACGGAGACTCTTGGCTGTTAAACAATTGTTTGTAGAATGGAATGACCGTGCATGGAACTTGGTGACATCGGGATGAGCCTGTCAAGCCCATGGCTGTCGTGCGAAAAATGAGATTTGACACTACGGTCTGTGGGCCTGATTTTGTGTGCCCATGAAGTATGGAAATTGACACAAAGGGAATTTCACCATCTGGCGTAGGAAACAGGCAGAATGGATCTCAGGTACTGCATCTTCCCTCATTCGAATAGATCGTTTTTTTACAGAGGAGGAGAATAGTGCCCCCCCCCCCCCGGAAGTAAAAACAGCAGGCGTCCAGGGAAAACACTGCAATGTAAGAATATCAATGTGTTGTACATATACATGGAGTTAGAAAGCAGTTGTCTTTTTGTAAGATGGGAATGTGGGGGGAAATGAATGAGAAAATCCAAATGGAAATCTCAATATTTCAGGTTCAAGACTGGAGGGGAAACGGTTAATTCCAAATACTGGAATATTGGCATTCTGGGTAGGTTGTGTTTTTTTTTTGGGGGGGGGGGAGGACCGTCAGAAATCCTGTTCCTAGAAAATGAACCTCCACAGCAATGCTCATATACTTACATAAAATAAGAATGTACACATTTGAACATTTCTAACTTTAAAAAATGCTTCATTTTGACAAATTTCAGCTCCGCTTCTTGTTGCGACTTAGAGTTGGCAAAAGGAAACTCGACAATGTAAGCCTACTGTCTTCTGTGCTTGCTTCATGAGGGCTAGTGCCGTAGTTGGGTGCCATGTTTGGAGGTGGCATGGCTTCCCACAGTTATCTGGCTGGCCACTTTGAAAACAGGATGCTGGGCTTTTGGTCCGATCCACTGGGCTCATCTCTATGTTCTTGTGCTCCTTCTTCCCCGCCTGTTTCCTTGCTTGTGACACTGTAGCTCTCGAAGTGGCAAGGACAATGCCACCACAATTCTGCGTGTGTCCGTTCAGAAGTCACCGGTAAGTGGTTGGATTGGAGTTACGAATCGGCAAATCCTCCATTCAAATCTTGCCCCTTCCATGAACTCGTGAGGTGGCTTGAGGCAAGGGACGGCTTTGCCTCAGTTCTCCGTCAGTACTATGGGCATAATGATACTATTTTGAGTTGGGGGGGGGCGCACAGGCACCTAGCTCCACCTAACTTTTTTTCAGAAGGGTTGAGAACGTGAGATGTCACATGCTCCAAGGAGACTGCAAGGCCCGTCATGGCAGCAGGAAAGTCTGAGGGGCCCCCGCTGCAAAGTTAATTTTCAATATGGTGAAAAGGAGACTGTTTTATTGCCACTTAGCCTTGTTTGAATAAGCGGGTATAGTTTCAACCAGGGTGGACTTTGGTTTTTCAGTGGCTCCCTGTGTGAGCCCAAAATTTGGTGCCCCCCTCCCTGCCTCTTTCTCTCTTTTGCGCATGCACCATGTCCTACCTGCAGTACCCTGGCGTGGAGAAACCAGTCCCACTGCCCTAAAGCTGACTCTGTTTCAATACCATAAAAAGGTAAAGGGACCCCTGACCATTAGGTCCAGTCGTGGCCGACTCTGGGGTTGCGGCGCTCATCTCGCTTTATTGGCCAAGGGAGCCAGCGTACAGCTTCCGGGTCATGTGGCCAGCATGACTAAGCCGCTTCTGGCGAACCAGAGCAGCGCACGGAAACACCATTTACCTTCCCGCTGAGCGGTACCTATTTATCTACTTGCACTTTGACGTGCTTTCGAACTGCTAGGTTGGCAGGAGCAGGGGCCGAGCAACAGGAGCTCACCCCATTGCAGGGATTCGAACCGCCGACCTTCTGATCGGCAAGTTCTAGGCTCTGTGGTTTAACCCACAGCGCCACCCATGTCCCGCCTGATGTGCTTACACAGTAGTTAAACACTGTGCTTTTCTTCCAGAAAAAAAGGAGTGCTGCTTACTAACCATGATATTGTTACAGGAAGTGCCACGCTTTTAACCAGTGTTTTTTTTTTCCTAGGGGAAAAAGGGTGCTGGTACTGCTTACCCTTGAATACCTCCAGAAAAAAAGTACTGGTTAATTGGCTATTTGTGCCACATTTCAAAGTGCATTTCCTCATTCCTTTTCTAACCCCAATGTGACCTCTCGCTTTTCCTTTACAAGTGGATTTGTTGGGTCAGAACAATACAGCATTTTAGTTCTCTTTAATTGCACAAACCTGAATTTCTGGTAAGGCATTGATTCCCTGCTGTAAAACAGCTGGCAATCTGTCAATGACCAGAGTTTATTTTATTTCCTTCTTCTGTGGTCCCACCAGAGGGAGCTCAAACATTGTTTCCTCTTCTGCTTAAGTGGCAGCCCTATATGTTTGCTTTAACACTTCCCATATTTCTCCCATAATGATATACAGTTCAGAGGTATGCCAAAAAGGAAAACTCTTCCCAATCTTTTTAAAACATCTAAATCTTTCCAAATGTGTACGTGATACAGCAACCTTAACAAATACACACGTTTCTCTTTTTTTAAAAAAAAAATTCTAATACAGACAGAAAACCTACTCTGCAGCAGGGAAATCAGTACGGCTTCTTTTTAAAATAAATAAATAAAATTGCAAACAGGACTTCCTTTTCTCAGACGAATGTATTGTATACAGTTCATTTGGATTCTCTCAGGAATCTTCCAGACAGGACAAGTTCTGCAATCTTAGAAGTGTTTGTTGTGGTGGTAGTTGTACAGAAACAAAGCACAAGACATCAGTATTTAGATACAATTGTGATGTTTCTTTCCCACGTCCTTCCCTCCTATATGTTTCTTTTGTCCTTTTTTAAAGTTACAGCAGTTCACTGTACTCCACAAGGGTCAACTTTCTTGCACCCCCAAAGTTTTATATGCAACATTTGCTTCGCTCGGGTACAATCTCTGGATCATTGTGAAATAAGAAACATACTTGTGATAGATAGCTCTCCTTTTAAGTGGCTCAAATCATCTCAGAATGTTTGTGCATGAATTTAAAGAGAAAGATCTTGTAATGCTAATGCTTGTAGCCATTGCCTACAGAACTGGACTTTAGTAAATTTGAAATGATTTGGGCTCTTGGTGTGGTTTGGGTTTTATTTTATTTTATTTAGCAATCACCCAGATCCACTTGAGGAACTCAAGGCAAAACTTTTGAATAATATAAAGACAGACATAGTGCACTGTATTGTAAATCTGAAATCAGAACTCCTGCCCTAGGGTGGACTAATGTGCAGTTCAGCTAAATATAGAAATT